ATGGATGATGCCTCGGGTGTAGTGCAGTTTGCGGTTAAATTGATGGACATGTCGCTTTCGCGTCGACAAGTGCAATTGTTCAGGCGCGAAACGAACCGCAACCACTTCATTAGCAGTATCACCCAACATCCCAACGCTCAGTGTGTTTGGCAATCAAGAAGCTTGTTTTCTATGGGCGTCTTGAGGGGGCTTTAAAGGGGTTCAGAAATATGTTTATACTACAATTGCGAAAAAATCAAATGCTACATTTACGACCAATCTATTTAAATGCAATTTTAGAAAATAATAAAAAAGGTCTATTGACTTTTAAAAATTTTAAATTGAAAAGCCTTTGTGATTAATAAATTTTCTATAATTCCAATTTATTTTCACAGAGAACTTTAGTTTTAAATCAACGAAAAAAAACCTTTCGGATATTAGTTCAAATATTAAATTTGTTTAAATAATTATTAAAATTATCACCCATCCTGATAGACTTTTATTTCACACAGACATAGATTGGTTACGCCCCTGATTTATTCATCAGCTGTGGTCACTTTTCACATAGAGTGAAAAGCTTCCTATAGTGGAATCTGATTTGTCGCCCGACGAGGATTTTAGTTGCCTCAATTCATTATTTCTTCGCTCGGGCTCTGCTAAATGAAAGGCGGCATTTCTGATGACACTGTTAATTAATGGGAGATTAACTTGTTCATTGTTTCGCTTACGTTTCGCCACTCGCAATTCGCATTCGCGATGTTCGCTCGTTCACGTGCGAACTAATAAATCACGCATACGCCCGGTTGAACGACCTCGCCGGCAATTAACGACGCGGCCAGCAAGGGCGTCCTGTCAATGTGTCAGTCAGTCATTCAGTCAGTCAGCCAGCCAGCCGCTCTTCCGGTTCCGCCTGCGAGGCGGATTGCGTGCCAAATGATGTGTCACCTCGCATTCAAATCCCGAAGTAGCAACTAAAGTCGCAGCCACATGTCCCGAGCCAAAAAAGAAAAGAACCATTCACGGAGAAAAATAGCTCACAAACTGGTCGGCACAGCTCCTATTTATTTCATATCCCTGTCAAAGTGTATAAGAAACTGGTGGAGCTAGACCCACAAAGATTTTCCAAGGCAATTTTGTGGAAAAATAAATGTATAATTTTTCCTTATCATTGATGTAAATCAAAAATATTTCCTGCTAAAAAAAATGTATATCAAATGTTAGTCTCAAAAATAATAATATATTTATTTTATAATGCTGTACAAGTTGGAAAAAGAGTTGAAACAATGCATGGAAAGTACTTTTGGCAACTTTCGGAATTAAAGACAAGTTTTCCATTTTTCCTTGTAAAACGGATAAAACGATGTCCTTTATGTTATAAAAAATCCATATACATCAAGAGTTTTGTACAAAAAAGATATGCTTTTTCGTCAGTGTTGAAATGGGCCATAAAAATGGTTCTGGCCAAATGCCAGCCCAGCGAACTGAGCCCTCGCTGTCTCCTGTGAGCGGAGCCATCACTCCGAAACTGAACCTGGAGCCTGGCCCAATTCAATTAGATGCCAAATGCAATTAGCTAAATGGCTTCTCGATGTTGTGATAAGCACCGCAGGCAGTGCCGTTCGCCCCTGTGACAGCCGTTTTCATGGCCGCTGGGCAGCGGAAACGGACTGGGAGTTGTTATTAAAAGTTTACCCGCCGCCGGGGCAAAAAGTTCAACATCAGGCCACTGAAAACTGGAAACTGAAAACTGTGAACGGGCTTAGCTAACTTCTGACAACGGCTTAGCCTGCGAGTTTAGCAGCAACAAGGTTGCGCTTTAAATACAAGTCTTAAACTTAAGGTAAACTTCGAAGTTCATATTGCGTTGGCGAGGCAATAAAACCAGATTTGAGTGCTGCACTTTAAAATTATTTTAGATAACTACAGAATTTTTTAAGAGTTACTAAAATGTATTTAATTTTTTTATAACCTAATCCTTCATATTTAAAAACTGTTATTTTTAAATGATATAATTTTTACCTTGATTTATTTGGGTACAAAAAATATTAAAGTATATTTGTGTCATCGAATTATCCCATCTGCTTTAAAACTGCAATCATGTCCAGAAAATGCCACAGGACTGCAATTACTATGTGCTTCAATTATTGTGGAAATAAATAAATGATTAAATTGTCCTCCGAGAATTGAGTGTTAAGGGTTTTCGAGGCCTTTGAATGACTATTAATTAAACATGTATTTCCGGAATGCGGTCACTTAAATTAAATCGTAAAATAAATAATTTCAGGCTCAAATTTATTCGTGCCTTTAATTTATTCTCTTGCTTGTATTTGATTCGTATTTTTTTGTTGACTTGTTTATGCTTGCTGGGCAAACAGTTTATGATTGGGCTGCAATTTATACAAAATGCCGCCATTAAATATGGCGCCTATTTGCTTATGTCCTCACGAATCGTAAGCCACGCCCCCTGCCACCGCCCCCCGCCCTGCACAAACACAAACACAGACAGACACACAGACAGACGGCGAAAACGAAGCCAATCTTTGTTATACGGGGCGGATGTGTAATATGCTTTTTATACTTTTGTTACTGGCTTTTCGGGCTTTTGAGGCTCCGTCATCCATCAAGCTGTTTGCAGACGCACAAAATATGCCCAGTTTATGTTTGTTTTGATATTTTATAAATATTCCAGTGTCCCTAAGCTGTAAAAATCATAGTTGGGCTGTTTATTTTTCAGCTCTAGCAGACTAAAAGTTTAAGCAAAAGGATGAGATTTATTATGGAAAGTTATTGACACTTTTTTGATGAGTTTGCGTAGACCTATCCTTATTACTTTAATTTATTTTAAAAAATCTATAAATCTAGTTAGAAAAGATTTTAATTTTTCCGGAACTAACGCACAATTTTTTTTTTGTTTAAAATTTATTTATATATTTTTTAGAATTCTTCAGGAGTTTCTGTCCAGGTGTATCTATGCAAATCAGTGTCATAAAGCCTGCACCCACATCCGCATCGATGATCAGTGAACTGCGATAATTCGATTTCGATGCGCAGCTCTGCAGGCAGAAATCTGGCTGGTTAACTGCTGAAGCCGTAGGAGCTGGGAAATGCAATGGAAAAGCGAGGGGTGAAGCGGCGGAAAATCCAGTCGAGGAAAGCCATCTACCTGGGCGCCTGCAGCAAACTGCAGCTTAATTTGTGGCGCAATGTATGACGAGGATAGGGAAAAGGCAGCCCTTCGCCTTTGTTGATTGAGCAGGGGGATGAGGCGAGATGGTTGGAAAGAAAATGACGTGCCATGAAATTGATTGCAAAGTTTTCCCCCAAAACTCAAACCTCACCCGTACCGGAACAGACTGAAGAGGCAGCTCCTGGAACTCAGGACTCAGAAACTCAGGTGGGCGTCGTCAAAGGTCAAAGCAGCGAGCATAGGCAAAGCGAAAACTGCCGACCCTTCACCCTTCACCCTTCACCCTTAACCCTGCTCAAGTGGCTCGGGCTTATGTTTGCCAGCCCTGTCGATCGCATATTAAATGAGTTTACGTTCAGGCGCCTGAAAAAGCCCCTAAGCACCCCTTAAAATTGCTCAGCTGCGAGGCAATGCGGCCGTCAATTAAAGTGGTTTATGGCCAAGTTTATCCGTAGGATGTGTTCCAAGCAAACGACGCCAGATGTAGTGGCTTTGGGCATGGAAAAATACGGCCTCAATCGAACGGTTCACGGGATATAAAATGTTGCTTTTAATAAAGAATAATGGCTACATCAAAACTTCATTTATTTCTGCTATTTTTGTAAAACATTCTGTAGTGCTTATTTATCTGATATTTTGGTGGACTATGATTTGCGATGAAAATAAGTAAAATATTATTTAAAACCATATCAAAAACAAGGCTATAAAATAGATTAAATAACTGATATAGGTATTTATTTATTTTTGTTTTAAAACCATTGTTTCCGACTTATTCGCATGTAGAATCATTTAACCAAAAGTGTACTTTTTTCGTTTACACCAAAATAAATCCCGAACGGACTCAATTTTTTTGCTTATTTATTCATTGGTTTGTTTGACCATTTCTACGTATTTGTTTGGAATTCCTCTTAAACCAGCGCTTTAGAGACATTTTTATTTATAGTTATATTATTTTATTTTTTCCGCAATAAAACTGTTGTTTGCCTTTATATTTTTTGTTTGCTTGGTAATTCCTAAAGCCAGTTACATCAGTGGTGGCCAGTCTTAGGGACTGGACCCTGCCAATTTGCTAGTGAAAAGGGTTCTTTGCCGATGTGACGTCAAAGGATGTAAAAAAGCTGCTTTCTCTGTTTGCCAGGAAACAGAATCGCACAAAAAGTGTCCCACAAAAAGTTTCAATTAGTTGAGTGCAATGTTTAGACATGATGTTGGGGGCCCAAAGAAACCCGGTTTCGGAAGCGGGACAAACCCGTGAGGGATAGTGCCCCCTCACTCCCAACACGGGCACTTCATTCGCAATGTTATGTTCGCATTTCTTTTACAACTCGGGCTTCCATTGGCACACTCCCGGCGGATGTCCTGCGCAGTTTTTTCGGACCACTACCAGCACGGATGTGAGGAACATCATTACCCGCGTCCACCCAGTTATCCACATTTCTGAATTAAACATAACGACCGATGGAGACGGCTCTTAGCATTGCTCAACCATTCTGATTGTGAGGCGAAACGAAAGCTTTTGCCATTTTTCAAACACACAGAAAACAACAAATATCATTTCTGTAGCCTTACTAAATATTAAAATAATAAAGTTAGGACTAATTAAAATTTTAACTAATATTTATATTTAAATAGTTTGGTTAAGATTTATCTAATTTTCTTAATTAAAATATATTATAACCTTTAGCTTAACATTTTCCAATTGGGCTTTACTTTATAGGAAACCCAGAGTTTTTACTTTGGAGTATTTTTTTCTGTGCAGTTTGCGGGACAAATTGGATCCCCATATTCGTTCCACATGTTATTTGATTAATTGGCGGGGCAAAGTGTCGCTTACCGATATTAACGATGCCATGGTTGGTTAGTTCCCAGCACGACTGCAGCCGCAGGATGCTGAGGCTGTGGCTCTGTTTGGGCGAGAAGTAGCCGAGTGCCGCATCCGTGACGTGGTAAGCCTGTTGGGACCGAGAGGAGATTCAATTAATTCGATACGCGAGGGCGGGCCGGATCCTCGTCAATCTGGACTTGCCTGCAGCGAGAACTCGTAGAGGGAGGGCAGCAGCTGGGCCACCGCGCCCACCGCCTCGTCCGCGATATTGATGCAGTCCGCCAGGGACAGGGACACGATGCGGGGCGTGAGACACGCCCACAGACCCGCCTCGGTCACCTCGTTGCAGCCAGCCAGCTCCAGTTCAAACAGACTCTGCAAATTAAAGGATTACAATATTACAAACTACATTCATGAAGGCTTTATTAAAAAAACTTAATACATGTTTTATTTTTAATGAAAAAGCTTATGTATTTAACGTCTTTACTTTACTTGGACCAAGCAAACTCTTTACAAACAGTTTCACCATGCCAGAAATCAGTTTTTATTATTTATTTTATTATTTTAAGAGACTACACTTTTAATGAATAAAATATTAGTTTTATTTTATATTTACAGAGAAGAGTTTATAATTATTTTAAAAAGTCTATTGACTTAAATTTGGACATTTAAAAATAGGAATTGAAATGCAAATAAAATCAGTAGTATTTTTAAGTGATAAATTTAGTTTTTCCAGAATACCTCTGCAGAAAAGCAATTAATGCCATATGATTGCATTTTGATTTTATTTGTAAACAAAATTCAATAAACCAATTGTAAACAGATGTTTTCATTAGAAAATTTTTCGGGTTGCAACAAAAGATTGCGGGCATGATTCCGTTGTCATAAGTTATGTTGCCTTATTATTTAATGATAATTTAGCAGCATAATTAGTAGTTTGTTAAAACAAAAATTCGTTAAATCAGTTGACAATTTTATAAATGAACGCCGTGTTTAAATGAGTTTTTAAAACAGTTTTAAAGCACTTTTACTTTGTTAGAGGTGTGTCTGTATTTTTGGCAATGAACTTGATTATTTAAAAATTTAAGAACATTCCGAAAATCATTTCCCATGACTGAGAAAAATGCTCGATATTACTTGGAAAATTCTTGAGTTTGGTTGCGATCCACTTGGTCTAAAATTTGCTATATTCGTCTAAAAGGGTGACTGCTCTGTCATGAAATCGTCAAATGTTTTTATGATCTGCCATCCGATGAATTCTAAAATACTTTTGGACATTTCACAGCGTTCATAAACGTTGACACTTGGCTAGCAGAAAAAAAATAAACACCAATGGGAGGCGAGTGAAAAATATCAAAACGAAAATACCTCCGTGCTTATATTTTTACATAAAACAGATATACACGAATATGTATGAAAATGGTATAAAATTGTTTAAATCTCAGGTGGGTTTACTTATTAAGCATCTGCTAAAGAACATTTTGAATTTCCACATAATTAAATGATGCTCTTAGTTTTCCTTGACGACCACAAAATGATTCCACGCTTCTTTGTAAATAAATTGAGCAAAGTAATTACAAAAGACTTATTAAATAAAGTTAAAGGAATGCAATTAGTTGCTTTCTATAATATGTCCTTTACACAATGGCCCAAAGATAGAAACCTAATTTGAATTTACACTATATATCATTCTGTGGAGCGTAAACAATATAGGAAAAATTGCATAGCTTGGATTGTGTGCGTGGAATGAGGGAAAATTGAATGGAAAACCGACCAAAGAGATTAAACAAATTACAGGTGCCACCTGGTGGTGCACCGATTTAAAGAACTAGAAAAAGAGTGGGAATCCATTGAAATTAAATTAAATTGCACTGCTCCCAACTTTTGATGCCGAGATTTACAAGTCAACAAAATTGAGAAAACTTTTCTGCTAACTGGGAATAATTTTTCAATGCGTTATACGAGCAATTTAATTCCCTATAACCGGATAAACTTTGACCTTTTCAAGAGCAAAACATTGTCGAGGAAGTAAAAGCGAGAAAAACACATAACATCTCTCGATGGAGGCGACCCCGTTCGAGTGGCAGACTTTGTGTCGGGATATGGACGCCATTGTTGTTGGGCCCCTCGATTTCAACCCATTTCCCCTCCCGTAAAACCGGAAACAAGGCAACAAAGGCGATAATAAACAGCAAATGCAGCCGGAAGCACGGTATAAAAATGAAAATCCCAAGGATGGTCACACACAAAACGCATTAAGCGCGAACAATTCTCACTCCCGCGGCTGAACAACAATTATTTTTATTGTTGACGCAAAACAGGAGAAATAACAAAACGTAAACAGCTAAAACAGCAAGATACCAATTTAATCCGAATCCCTAATGCGAATGCCCGTGAGTCTGTGTAATAAATCAAAATTAATCCATTCAACGCAACGTTCGTTTTGGATTAAATTACTTTTTCTCAGCACGAAAGGTTAATAAAATGCAGGAAAAATAAAAACATGAAATAACAGGAAAGAAACATTTTTCATATAAACTTTAGCTTAGCAAAAGAAGCTTTACAGTGTTATGTAATAATGTCAGAAAAGGACATCTATAAAAAATAGTATCTCAAAAAAATCCTTAAGTATACCCAAACCCTTTCAAATCCTAATCCTAATCCTATCTGAGTAAATACAAAGCAGGAATCCGACTCATTAGCGAATTAAATGGTCTAATTACGAATGTGTTTAGTACACAGGGCCAGTAATTGGATTCTGTACATCGGTTAACTTTGCCAACAATCAGCAGAGGAAGCCCAACAACCAGCCAAGCCTTTGGCATGACTTCATTATGAATGGTAAATGCTCGGTTGTTGTTTAGATTTTGTCCTCTCCCCACGAACCGTATTTTGTTTTTATGGACAATTGTGGAACTTTTTCCCCTGGCTGGCTAACACAAAACACGTAGCCGTAGCCAAGGGAAACTTTTTTCCTTCTTTTTTTCTTTTTTTCGGTACCATGTGTCGGCAGGAGGCAAAATCGATGGGAAAAGTCAACCACGCAAAGGAGAGGAGTTCCACAATGAAATGCTAATGGCGGCACACACATGCTCGGATGTGTGACTATTTAGTTGCGATAAAGTTTTCCAGTGTTTTTGCCTCGGTTTCTGAGGTTTGCTGTTCAGCGATGGCAGTTTTTCGCTTAAATTGTAGAGCTATGGTGTTTCGAACTAGATTAAATATGAATTGCATACATAATGACACATTTTAATTAAATCCAGCCCCTCTATATTGCAATTTGAAATTATAAATATTTGTGCATACATAATCAGATACTTTTTAGTGATATTGTTATATGTTATCAACTAAGCCTTTGTTATTTGTACGGCTAACTTCTCGAAATGATGCCATAATTTAATATTCTGTTTAATTTTGTAAAACAATGGCATTTCGTGGTTCTACACATAAAAAGCTGACTGCTTTATTTTATGAATATCAGGCGCATTAAATAAAATGCAATCCCTCAAACGAGAGTAAAAATTTGAATTTGAAATAAATTGGCCAATTTAATTTCGCAACTGCAGCTGAAAAGGCTTTCGCATTTAAATAGCCGGAGGTGAGAGAGCGTAGCATAGTTTTATGGGTCAATGGGGCTGGGTTCAACGAGCTCTCAATCCCCCTCGCAGAAGTCTGGAGTGGAAACTTCGGAGCGGCAATGCGGAAATCGCATATATTCGCCCGAGCCGACTGCAGTGCCTTTGCCATTAAATATGTATAGGAATGCAGGAAAGTCGCCGCATTTCCGTCGCAGCAGTAACTAGCATTAATTTCGCGTTGCATGTTGGGGTTTTTCCGGGAAATGTTTGGGTATGGTTTGGGGCCTGGGAAATTCCGTAGGGGCAGTTCACATGCACTTTCCGCAGAGTCCCCAAGGTCAAATTCCTGAGCCCATTGCGGTTGATCCTCTCGCATCATGGCAAACCCAAACCCAACTCGTCCCCAGTGTGTCATTGTTGTTGACATTGCCAGCGACAACAATTCGCAATCAAACCATTTGTGGGCGCTTCCTGCGCACACAAACTCACATTCATCTGGATATTTCAGACCCTGGCATTGGAACTAGGCTCATAAACATGACATGCATTCGCAGTGGATTAATTCTGACATTAGCAGTCCCGAGTCCTAAGACCTGAGTGACGTATGCACACCAGGGTGGACCTGTGCTGTCGGGAGTTTACTTTAAGCTCCTAACTTTATTACCTTACAGGTCACTCTTCTTCTGTAAGCAACTAAATTATGATTCTAAAGTTTCTCTTCTACCTTTACTTATTATATATTTTTATATTTTACATAGAGAAGTCTTTAAAATTTGTAAAAGGAAAATGAAAAAATTACTCATACGCCGTGTAGCCCAAATATTCGTTTAATATTGATATTGAAGTATTGGTAAACCTAAAAACAAAACAGAGTTCCCTTTTAATATTGATTCTATGACCAACGATTTTAAACAAAATTGGGTATAGATTTTACTAAATACCTAACTAACTACTTGTATCCAACAACGCATTAATTAAATTATACTATTTTCGGTAATATATATTAATATACGGAACCTATCAGAATAGAAACACCCTAACAAACCAGTACCATCAAAGTCAAAAGACCAGAGGGGTAAGAAGAGTAGGGCAACAGCAATCTACTCAATGAGTGTGTGACTGACTGAGCTGACAGGACCGCAAATTCATGTAGAACGCTGCTTCATAGAGGACTTGGCCGCATCCAGTTCACCAACATTATCCACTTTACTGGCTCCGCAAGAATGTGTGTGTGGATTTCTGTTTACACTTGCTCAGTTTGTATGTTTTTGTGTGTGTCTGTGTGTGGGATTGGGCCATTTCCGGTGACCCATGCTGGGCCCCTGGTGGATTAGGTTCCCAGATTGCTCGGGATTGGTCCATGAAATGAATGGATTAGTTCGCCCAGGGCCCTCACCACAGTTGGCCATCAATTAAGCTCCCCACTTGTTCGTCCAAATTCGATTGGGGTTGCCTGGGATTATTGAGGCAGTCCGGCAAACCGGCAAACCGAAAAAGATGAAATCAGTGGGAAAGCAGCAGTAATAAGGACAAAGCGAGTGGAATAACCAAGCAAGAAATAATGGGTTATTGCGGCTACTCGGGATGAGTAAGGATGAGTAGTGTGAATGAGAGATTCGTGCTTAAAGCTTAGAGAAGAAATACCAAACTAGGTAATTATTGAAAATTGGGAGATACATCTAAGAACCCATTGAAAATTTTAGAATATAAACCATTTAATAAAATAAAAATCTCTTTTTCGTATAGAAACTTTTTCTTCCTATTGCTCGCATTTAAATTAAATTATTCTTAAAGCTTTAAAAATATTTTGTTTTAGTAACAAATTCCTCTACAATTTCCGTTCATGCTCTTCTGCTTTCATTCTAATAAAACATGGAATTTTTCAGCAAAACAAAAACCCAGTGGCCCGCCATTCGAGCGCATCTCATAAAAGATTCACCTGGCGGAGCGTAGAAATTATGAATGCACTGTGAGTGCTTTCAATTGAGTGCTACTCGCACACTCGCTCAAATTAGCGCAACAAAATAATAGGCTAAATTAAATGAAATTTATGACAGGGCTTTGATGTGATTTGCATCTGAAATTGATCGCATCAATTCATTATGCTGGCAGGCGGGTGACGAAAGGGGGCGGCATTTCGGCCACACTCGCCAGGCGATGACACACTTTCAGCTCTGACACGTTTCATTTCTCTGGCGCGCGGCACAAGAAGTCCCGAAATAAAATGAAAATAGTTTTCATTTCGTTAGCCAGCCAGCCCACAGATATTCGCACAGTCTTCGTGTGCGAATTTATTTCGGTTGTGGCCCAAAGCGGGACTGACCACTGTCAACTTGCCGCTGGCCAAAACGCCCACAGCCCAAACATTCGCTCTCTGTCTCTCGGACATTTTCCCATCTCATCTCCATTGGGGTTTAAAAAAAGCGTACCCCAAATCAAGTCAGAGGTTGAGCCAAACGAAAGGCAGCTGGGCCCCGAAAACCGGATTGCTCTGGGCTGGGATGGCATGGCCTTCGGGGCCAGATTCAGATTCAGATTTCCGGACATTGCCGTCTGCCCCCCGGGCCAAGTTGTCTTGCATTTTAAACAAACGACAGCCCATTATTCGAGCTTATGTGCAGACGGGAATTTCGTTTATATATTGTACATATAGTATTTGCTGGTATCTCAAGGGCGAAAAGATACGACAGTAGTTTGCCAAATTTTTTCAGACATTCGGTTAAATTTTATACGAATTTTAGGAGAATTCTGTTTCTGGATGGATTTAAATTTAATTTAATTTTTTTAATTTAAGCCTGAAACTCACCGCAATCAAAAAGGCAACGAAACTAATCATAACATAATAATATTTTATTATTTTTGTTAATTATTAAAATCTAAGAATTATACATGTACATTTCACAAGCTTCATAAATAATAAATAATAAAAATAGAATTTTGCTTATAGCTCTAGTCAAAGTTTTATCGAAAAACAACTGTCCAAAATGGATTGTTTATATTTTCATTTATTTGAAATTTGGGAAAACTTCCAGGAGGATAATTCTATTTCACGAGTTATCATATTTTAAAAATGTTCAGCATTTTATGATGCGAATAAGATAAATCTAGGTTAATTAAGTATTAAGTGTTATAAGCAAGGCAGAGAAACTCAAAAGGGCATTCTTAAGGACTTTCTTCCTAGCCCAATTATTAGATACAAAGAATAATTTCTAATAGATTTTTAAATAATCAGCACTCACCTGCAGGTGATCGAGCAGGGTCTCCAGTCCCCGGTCGCTGATCGAGGAGCAGCGCAGGCTGAGCGAGTGGACGTGCTTGGAGGCGAGCGGGAAGGAGTGGACCACGTCCAGGGCGTCCTCGTCGGAGGCGCCGACGAGTCCGAGGGCGTGGAATCCGCGGCGGATGAGCGAGTTGTAGAGCTTGCCGCGATCGCAGCCGGGCATTTGGCGCAGCTCGCGGCACTGCAGCGTGGGCAGCAGGCCGCTCCAGTAGCGCGGACTGCGGTACAGTGTGTCCCGCCACTTGATGCACACCTGGGCGAGCACGCGGCGCTCGTAGGGGGAGAAGTACTGGAAGAAGCGGCTCAGAAAGCGGTCGTCCAGCATCAGCTGCTCGATGCTGTGGATGGGCGGCGGGTGGAGCTGCTGCTGTTGCATAATCAGCGGCGACATATTGCCGTACGGGTGGTGCAGGTGAGGATTGGGCAGCTGCTTCCTCAGCTGCAGTGGAGTGCCGCCTGCACTGGCCGCCGCCTTCTGGGCCGCCACCATGCCCATGGTGCTGAAGGTGGGCGAGCCCGTGGGATTCACCCCTCCGCCCGGTATGGTTATGTTCATCTGCTTGGCAATGGACTTCACTGTGGGCGTGGGCGGGGCGCCCAGTGGCATGCCGGTGGGCGGGGCAGGACCCACCATCACATGGTGATTGGAGTTGATCAGCGTGGAGGCCTGCAGCTGCAGGTGTTGCTGCTGCGACTGTTGCAGCTGCAGATGTTGCTGCTGCTGCTGTTGCTGCTGTTGCTGTTGCTGCTGCAGGAGGTGGTGTGTGGAGTTCTGGACCTGCGACTGGATTCCTCCGGGACTGGGGCTGCTGCCACGCGACGACTTGTCCGGCGTCTGGGGAGGATTGGCATTGCTGGCGGGCGAAGGAGCAGCGGCTGCCGGCGAAGTGGAGTTGCTGTTCGAAGCCGAGTTGGAATTTGAGTTGCCGCCGCCGCACAGGGCGTTCGTCACGCGCTCCATCACCGACGTCTTGCCGCTGGGCGCTGCCGGCGGGGGCGTGGCTCCGGCCGGGGACGCTGGGTCGCCTCCACCGCCGCCGGCAGCAGGAGGAGCACCGGAAGTACTGCTGTGGTGGTGCTTCGAGCGCAGCCCCAGCCCATTGATCCGCTTGGACAACTCGGCGGAGGCTCGCTCGACCACGCCCTGCGCCGAGATCGATGACATCGTGTGCTGGAACAGATTCACCTTGCCTCCCTGAGAAACCGCCCTCTCGAAAAGTGCTTCCCCTCGTCCGCAGTCCGCAGTCCTTGGTCCTTCGTTTTTCACTCGCTTCTTGTTCGGGCCTCGCTTGTCCTTTACATTCCGTTCGCACTGTGCATCGCTGGCCTTTCACCTTCTTCACCGGCAATTAGCGAGGTTCACCTGTAACGAGGTAAGGAGATACACCTGGGGTTAATGGTCTGGTTTCCGGTTGCACAGGGGGTTTTGTTTTAGGGAGCTCAGAGATTTCTTTGAGTATATGCACATGTGTCAGTTCTCTGAAAGTCCTTTCAAAGACTGATGATTCTTTTTTTAATAATATGAAATCTTAACACTTTAAAAAAATTTCATTAATTTCTTGATTTCTTCTACGTTTAAAAAAAATACTTCATAATAAAATAAATAAATCAGGGACCGTAAATAATCATTATTTGAGATTTTTATTTTAAAAAGACTACTGTGATATTTGGTTTTAAACGTCAAAAATAACGTTCTTTTTACTCTTGTCCACAAAGTGCATAAAACCAGTTAAATTGTTGATTAAAACTTTTAAAAACCTCAGTAGGCCTTTTAAAATAAAAATCTCAAATAATGATTATTTACGGTCCCTGAAATAAATAACTTTATTTAACAATCATTTCATATATTTGTTCAAATAATATTTTTAGTTAGCTTAAATTAACAATATGAAATTTTGTAGCTAATTTTAAGAGCACACAGTTTCCAGGTGTCTTAAAAAAGAATTTCGACCAATCAACAAATATTATTTGAAATCATGCAAAAAAATTTATTTAAAAAGGTGACCTTTTTCGGCCCGTGAGTCCCATCTAACCTTCTATTACTCAGTAATGTTTGTGTGGTTTACCCAAAAAGTCAATAATACCCTTGTGTATTAGGTATAACATACACATTAGAGAGTATTTTGCAGTCGGATCACTGTACTGCACTTATTTTCCTTGCTTTTATTAGCTTTTGAAGCATTTACACTCCGCAATCTAAGACCACTCAACAATTTCTAGTCACTTCCTCCCAGACCCAATGCAATTACATGATTTGTGGGAAGTTGCCAACTGCGGTTTGTCACTCCCTGTCAATAATTTCCTCGGAACCCGCCCATTTCGAATACGCGGCACTTTCGCGTGGCTCAACACGACATGACCAAATAAAAAGAAGGCCACAACCGGACAGATTTATGGCCCACTTTCGCGGTGTTGGCGTGCAGGCCGTAACCTCCGACCTCGATTCTTTTCGCGACTTGTTGTGGCTGCAGAAAGTTCGCTTCGCCGATAAGGCAAACAATGTGCCAACTGCAAGCTAACTAAGCCAAGGTAATGCGCCACCCGGTGCATTGCCTTTTGAGTCGCGATTTCGGACCGGAAGTACCAAGTCCCGCGAATTTCGGAGGGAGCTTTTGGATGTTCCATTGAATAATGGATAATTCTTAGGATTAATGAAGCGTATCCTTTAATTAACAGAAAATATTAAGATACTTTACAGAAATATGCACTATATTATCAATAAATAATAAATAAGCTTGAATAACAATAAATCCTCTCAAAACGAATGCACTTAAACTGCTTAAAACCCAATTGCCTTTTTCCGAAAGCACATAAATAACAAATTGATGGCTCATTTAACCGAGGCCACCTCGAAAGCTCCTCGATGGGTTCGCCTTATCGAGAGGATACGATGCCATTTTGTGAAGAGGACAAATTTAATTGCCATAAATGCGCGGATTGGGCTGAGCTCAGTTCGAAATGGGGGGCCTTAAGACCCAAGGTGAACCTCCTCCTCGGCGGAGACGCTTATCGTTGGTCCGCCTGGCTGCCTCAACATCCTTTATCCTTCGCAGCCGAAGGTCCTGCCCCAATCTTCGCAATCGTCGCTGCCTTTCCATTTGGACGTGGGCCCAAACAAAAGACAGTCATCTCACCGCCCCGGGAGGCGTGGCATAGACATTGACTGAGCTTTCTCTGTCACTTCCGGTCGGTTCAAATGCACTCTTTACTCAGAACGGAAGTTCTAACCTTTTAAAAGACTTTCGTGCTGTATAAATGAAATTATTAAGACATTTGTATTGAAAAGACATCTAAAATAAATACCTTTTTGATAGACTTGTATTCAAATTTAACTTTTAAACTAAAATTAATCTAGAAAAAGTTTTAAATATATTATTTTATAACTTTTCTTGAATTTTAAAGGGTATATATATTAATTTTATACTAACAAATTAACAAATACTAAAATGATTATTTAAATAAGTAGAGTATTTAACTTTCTTCTCGAGTGAAGAACCTTTTTAAATGTGGCTGGTTTTTATTGTTGAGATTTGATTGTGCGACAAATGCAAATACAAATTTGCTGCACGGCTCAGTCGAAAGTTGGCATTACCCAAGCAGGCTTCCTCCGGCCCTTCCGTCTGCTACAAGTTACACAATCCTCCTTGACTTTGCCAAAGGAACGGCGGAGCAGGGGAACGGGAAGTGGAAGGAGGAGGTCCTGGCGGATTCTCAATTGGGTTACTTGGAGTGGAAGCGAGTGTCTCGTCGGTTGGGTGAAAATTGGCTTAGTAATTTTACAAATCACTGTGAATGTGACTGCTGCCCATACTTTTCTGCTTATAACTTGGTTAATTTAATCCTGATTTTGACATTACCAACATAAAAAGTCTGATGATGAAGGTTAATAAAACATTTTGTCAATAGAAATTATCAAATAAATAGAGATAATAAATTAAAACATAAGGCTGACGAGAATAAAACTTCCCTTAACTTATGATTTTAAAATTCCCATTGTATTTATATTACATTTTAGTAAAACAAACAATTTGCTTTTCGTTTTATTCAGTTATCCCCAAATTGTTCAAACTAACCGAGCTTTCAAGAGCAATTTGGCCAGCAAATGTAGAACCATGTCTTTGCCCTGCCCTAAAATGTTTAATTACAACCTAAGTAATTTGATTAATATTCCGGAAAGTGCATTTTCCCACCGAGCGACCCGCCCACCGCCTCCTGCTACATGCAACAAAAATTTTGGAGGAACTTTTGCTCTATTTTGGGTGAGGCGACAGCAAATGTGCAGCATACTGTGAGTCGCAGTTGCAGTGATGCAATGCAAATGATGCAATGCAATGTAGCCATTCAGTAAATACATTTTTTTAATGAGCAAAGAGAAAATAACTTTTATAATTACCATTATTGCCATTTTTAAAATAAATATAAACTTAAGATTTCCAAGTCAAAAGCTTAATACTCCTCTTCAAAATCTGGATTGGTTTTTTATCATTCAAAAAAATTATTATTTCTTAAAATATTTTTGTTATATATTTTTCTAGACTTTAAAACCTATTTTTTTTAAAGAAATAAATAAAAGTAAAATGAATACAAAAGTTTTGATCTAAAAACCAACTCTGAATTAAAAATATGTGTTTTAATATGCGAAAAACACTATCGAATCTAAGTCTAGTTTTTTTTCTGTGTGCACCGGTAAATATGGGTCTTGTTCGCCGAGTACGTTGGAGTGTTTTCGGGGGATGTCGAGTGGGTGGTTGTATTTGCCAGCTAGTGTATTTCATTTTTGTGGGCCCTCCGCTTTGTGCGCATTTTCCGCAGCTTGGGCTCCATGTCTATTTTTGGAGTTGGTTTGAGTTCGAGTTCGAGTTCGCGTGCTTATTGGATTTTCCGCCCACCGCCCGCTACCCGCCACGCCCCCCTATGTCCCGCCTCTCTGTGTCAGGGCCTGCTCCACATTGCCGCCCGGATCCGGGTTCCAGGGTCCAAGCCCCTTTTTCCGTAAGCCTGCGTGCTGGCAGGGCAGCAGTATCGATTTTAGCCCCGTTGTTTTCACTCCGCTCTCGCCTTGCTCCTTGCTCCTTTCTGCACTCTCCTTTCTCCACTCTCCTTTCTCCGCTCAAAACAAAACAAAGTCCGACTGGAGACTGAAAAGAAAATAGTAACCCTCCCGAATAGCGAATGTCAATATTTTCCCTCCGCTTCCCGCTCAAGTTCAGTGTTGTTCTGCTCATCAGCTGGGAAAATGTGAAAATGTGTAACAAGAATGGAGCGAACAAAACACAGGGACTGTGAAAATGTTGCACGTACGGATTTGTTGGGGGCCAAAGTTCTTCAGAATAATTGTCGTGGCGATGACGGACCCTTGGGATTTCATAAGGCAACAATTAAATAATTATGACAGTGTTATGTCGTAATAGTTGTGTACTTTTAGTTTCTAGATTTTACCTTAAATCTTGGAAAATATTTGAAGGATTTCCAAAGCTTCAGAAAACGATTTTATTTCTAAGCGAAGTATTTCTGCAGATATATAATATATATCCATGGATATATACCGTCAAAACTTTTTAACACTAGATTTAATAAGATATAATTTTAGATTTTTAAGTCTTTCGGAATGAATTTGAATATTATCCTAAATATCTTGCATTCTATTGTATACAAAATTGGATTAAATTAGTACTACTAAAGAATGTGAAATATTATTTATATTTTCACCCTTTATAAATTTACTTTTCTACAATATATTATTATTTTTAACTTAAAAAGGTTTAATGTCATATATGAAAGTCATTTCGTATGCATATGGAGCATGAAACGTAGATTCTAACCGCTTTAGTTTGCAAATGAGTTATTCTGAAGGCATCGAATAAATCCTTGTTCCAAATGCAAATTGCACTTGACTAATTCAATCTGCAGGATATCCCATCGCAATCCGAATCCCGATCCCAGTCACGATTTAAATCCCCACAACTTATATCCACGCCGTACGTCAATGTTCGTTTCTGGGTCACTACACTCATAGAAATTTTTACCCTAAATCGCCCTAAAAAACTGACTTTTCGCCCGTGGATTTAGAAAATCGCCCATAAATCGTATCCGCTGGCGATTCGCCCGTGTATTTAGAAAAATTTTCTAAAAAATCCCGATGGAAATTTGGTTTAATTTAGGGTGATTTTTCTTGAAATAAGAAATATTTTCCTTTTTTTAGGGTGATTTGCCCTAATTTTAAGGTGTATTTTTCTAAAATTAAGGGCGAATTTTCTGTTTTTAAAGGCAAATGCCCTAAAAAATTAGACAAATTAAAAAAATTCGAGTTTGAGCATGCTTAACTGAATTTGGGAAGCATGTATTTTTTAATCGTGTATATTCTGGGAACTGGGACTGCTTTAATTACACAAAACCGGCGGAGGACACCGTTTCATATTGTTGTATTGGTGTGTAGCTTATATGGGAGCTGCGCTAAGAGGGGGGCCCGATCTATACAGAACAGCCGTTAGAACTGAAAAATCATGTTTGTAAACGAATTAGGGAAATAAATATGAGGAGAAAAAACAACTTACTTTTTTTGGTCATTGCGAGAATCGAACCCACGACCTCTCGGTTTAGAGTCTAACGTCCTAACGCTGCACCACAGACCCATCGCGCAAGACGACGAACAAACTCTGCACATATCTTATTTTCTTGAGGTCTACGTTATAATATGACTAAAGGCAACTAAACCGTATAAAGTATGCTTTTAACTCAGAACTCCCATACGTTTTTAAGGTTTAAAGACTACTTTAATTTAAAATTCGGACGAAAAAATGTCCTCAGTATTATAATGTTTACAAAAAAAAAAAAACATAAAAATCAAGTTGAATCACACAGGGTTCGAACCCACAACCTTAGTCCTCATATAGCAAAGTTGAAAGCGCAAGTGATTAGACCGCTGGGCTACCGAATTTCACACTTTTGGAGTGATTTTTAAGGCAAATCGCCCTTGTATTTAGAAAAATTTTAGAAAAAAAATTAGGGCAATTCGCCGTTGGATTTAGAAAAGGTCAAAACGAAGCAAATCGAAAAAAACCGCCCTAAATATTAGAAAAATAGAAAAATTAACCCTAAAAATATTTTTTTATGGTCACCTGCCTTAAATTTATGGCAAATTTGTCGTGAAAATAGAAAATTTTTCTCAGTTCAAAGGCGAAAAATTTTTTAGGGCGATTTTCTAAAATGTAGAAAAATATTTTTATGAGTGTATGCAACTTTGACCTGATTTGTGGAGTAGGCCGTCTATATACACAGCGAGTACATGGTATATAGTGCATATGCGGCCGTGATTAAGGAGAGTTCTCCAGATATCGATATCGTTATGCAAAGGAGTCCAAGTCCACAAAGAAATCCGCAAATCAATGGGCTCAATCAAGCGCTCGAGAGAGGACGCGCCAGGATGTCTAAGACCATTAGTGCGATTATGCCGATGGGCGGAGGGCGGTGGGTGGTATGACATCACAGACGAGTGGGAGGTGGGCGGCGGGCGAAGGGGTGGCGCCACCCCCTGGGGGCGGTTAGCGACCGGCTCTCTATTTTTCGAGGGTGAGCTTCTACCAGAGGGTGAAACTGGCCACCAACAATTCACGTGCAGCCAACAACAAAAAATGCATAAAATCATATAAATAATATCCCATTTTCTGTATAATTTTTTACACTTTTCGGGTGTTTAATAAACCAACCTTTTCCTTGCTCGATTCTTTATATAATGCTTGAACTCTGCGTCTCACACAATAAAAATCAATTTGGCAAAAGTTGCGACGCCGCGTTTTCCCAATTTCCCTTTGTGTTTTTATCGCCGATTTCCTTGAGGTCCCATATTCGCAGCGGAAAACACACAGAAACACCGAAGAAAACACACGCGAACGGGAAAACCAAAGCCGCAAAAAAGTCCACCGTCTCGCAGACGAAGAAGGAAATTGCAGTAAAACGTTCGAAAATAAAAAAAAAGTTTTTGCACGCTTTTGTCGCCTGTAATTGTTGTGGCCGCCGTTGGAAAATTGTCGTTCGGAAAAGCGAGGAAAACGAGCGTTAGCGCGCACGACTCAAAATTCGAACTGCAGGCGGATGCCACCAGCGAAAGTGGGAAAGCCTGTTTCTGTTTTCCCCGCAACGAAAGAGCAGGAGCCTGCGCATTGGCCTTTAGCTCTCCGCTTCTCTCGCGGAAAAGCTTTTTTACATGGACGTAGCGCTGGGGGGCTTAATGAGTGGGTTCTCGGAAAAGCGTCCAAACACTTTCGGCCTACTCCTCTGTCCACTTTCTCGCTGCGTCTGCGCCTTGCACCCTGATGCAAGGTAAACAAGCTCAGGTGGAGTTTCTGGGGGTGACCCACCCTCCGGAAAACCTGCGCTTTTCCGAGGAATTCGGGCAGCTCCTCGGGCTGATCGCCCGTGGGTGTTCACGTGCAGCAGTTGTCACTGTAAACAGTTAATAGCGAAACTTTTATTTCAATTAAAAATCATTAATTTACTTATAATTTAGCCAACACGGTGTTATAAATTAAAATATTGTACACAAATAATAAAATAAAAATTTAATATAAAAAAATAAAAATTCCTAATGAGGATATTTTCTTTGTCAAACAAAAAATAATTTTTGAGGCAACTCGTAAGACAAAATTCAAAGATTTCTTTTGTTTTTCTTCTCGCAATACAATAGGATTGTAACTTTAAATTGTTAAACTGTTAATTATTTAATTTAAACAATCGCAAATTGTAGAGAATTTTTTAAATTGAATTGTAAGCCTTAGAAAAATCTAAGAAATATGAAATATGTAACTTTCTACGAAATTCAAGGACCTTTTTTAAATTCCTATTTCGCATCCAATAAATTTCACTCTATTCTGTCCTCTGAATTTTCGTTTGTAAACATGGAGCAGCTGATTCGGACCTCGCATTGTGTGCCCAATTATATCCATGACATTCATCGAGGACAACAGAAGTGTGTTGGCAGCCAAATAAACACGCAAGGGGTCGTCTGCACCCCCAACCTCTGACCTCTGAAAAGTCCACCCCCGCGGTGGCTGCTTTGTTTGTGTAGCCAAGGGTTTTTTCGTGTGGGCGAACGTCGTTCGGGCGGATTACACCGGAATGCACTCGAACGTAAGGCGGAGTTCGCATTAAAAAATAGACGACCCTAGACAGCGGAGCATGAAATATTAAGCACTTCGACCGGATAAACAAAGGCGGCGAAAAAGCGACTTGTTGGATTATTTTCACTTATTTGCTTTGTGCGGCCAAAAGCATTTGAAAGCCAACACCGCTCATATGCGAAGCTCTCAGTTAAGACAGTGTGCAAATATGTAAATTAAGTGCATTCGCATTCAGAAAAACACTCATAGAACATTTAAAAAATATTTTAAATTTTTATGAATAATATTTTTACATTTAATATCTCTGAGATTTATTTTCTTAAACATAAGTACAAACCTTCTGAGTAATATTGAGTGGTACTTTTTAAATGGCATTCAAAGTGGCTTTTAATAAGGGCTTTTATCACCCAAGTTTTTAACAGGCTATGCTTTAAATTTGAATTTTAAAATGTTTGATGTGGCAATGCCGTAAGTTCTGCCAGCCCAACATGGGCTTAAGAAATCGCTAAGTTTTAGCTAGGTTCCACACCTAATTTCAAAAACGAAAAACATCGATGATCGAAAAACGATGTTTCCAAACATCGATGCATCGAAACTTCCATCGATGCTTCTCCACCAAAAAATATCGATATATTGATATTTTGATATATTTTTGACATCCCTATTTTTATTTTTGCGCTGGAAAAGCAGGTAAAATCCGCCGAAATAGGGAGCTGATGACTGCCGGTCGACCCATGAGGATCCCTGGACCCACCGCAATCAGCGAATAACCGAAAAGAGCTCAGCTCCTGGAGTTCCGGATCCGAGAGACTGGTGAGTGGCGTGGGAGCCCCGAAACAAATCCTATATAAACTGCCGATCCACCAGATAAACCCACGATGTCGTCCACATCGGCGGCTGCCTCGAACGCGGCGCCCGCGAAAACGGAGGTGCGCTACGTGACCGAGGTGCCCAGCAGCCTGAAGCAGCTGGCCCGCCTCGTGGTCCGCGGATTCTACTCCCTGGAGGACGCGCTCATCATCGACATGCTGGTGCGGAATCCCTGCATGAAGGAGGACGACATCGGCGAGCTGCTGCGCTTCGAGAAGAAGCAGCTGCGGGCCAGGATCACCACGCTGCGCACCGACAAGTTCATCCAGATCCGGCTGAAGATGGAAACGGGGCCGGATGGCAAGGCGCAGAAGGTGAACTACTACTTCATCAACTACAAGACCTTCGTGAACGTGGTCAAGTACAAGCTGGATCTGATGCGCAAGCGCATGGAGACGGAGGAGCGGGATGCCACCAGCCGGGCCAGTTTCAAGTGCTCCACGTGCTCCAAGACCTTCACGGACCTCGAGGCCGACCAGCTGTTTGACATGGCCACCCTGGAGTTCCGGTGCACCTTCTGCGGCAGCTCCGTGGAGGAGGACAGCGCCGCCATGCCCAAGAAGGACTCGCGCCTGCTGCTGGCCCACTTCAACGAGCAGCTGCAGCCGCTTTATGACCTTCTCAGGGAGGTGGAGGGCATCAAGCTGGCGCCGGAGGTGCTGGAACCCGAACCCGTGGACATCGACACCATTCGGGGACTGAACAAGCCCAACGCCATGCGACCGGACGGCCTGGCGTGGTCGGGCGAGGCGACGAGAAACCAAGGCTTCGCCGTCGAGGAAACGCGAGTGGATGTCACCATTGGCGGCGACGACACCTCGGATGCGGTGATCGAGCGCAAGTCCAGGCCCATTTGGATGACCGAGAGCACTGTGATAACCGACACGGATGCTGCCGATGGCTCGTCGGATGCGGTGCAGATGGCCAGCGGATCCGGACATCGCAACCGCAAGGAGAACGAGGACATAATGTCCGTGCTGCTGCAGCACGAAAAGCAGCCGGGCCAGAAGGAGCCGCACATGAAGGGCATGCGCGTGGGCTCCTCGAACGCCAACTCCAGCGATTCGAGCGACGACGAGAAGGACATCGACAATGCCAAGATTCGTAAGGGTTTTAGTTACTTATAATGGGAAATTTGAAATAATTTAATTTAATTTACAGCTGATGTCGATTTCGACAATTACATCAACTCGGACTCCGCTGAGGATGACGACGATGTGCCCACGGTGCTGGTGGCAGGACGACCCCATCCGCTCGACCAACTGGACGACAACCTGATAGCGCAGATGACGCCGCAGGAGAAGGAGAACTACATTCACGTATATCAGCAGCACTACAGCCACATATTCGAATAGGGGCTCTTGCAATTAGCCGCGTTTTCCCCGAGTTCCCCGCCTCAAGCATAGAGTCATTGTAATTATAAGTTACCCACTAGTTCGAGAGAATTGTACAAATGAAATGCGTATATAAATGTGCATAAGCAAAATGCTAATGGTATTGGTTCCGTCTGATTGTAAAGTATAGGGTTTGCTTTTACTACCAATTCTAAGTGAAATGGTTAAATATTATATAGTTTCAAGAGAATTGCATAGTGGGAATAATTTCAGAAAGATATTCAGTGATAAATTCTACTGTATAAGAGAATTTTTTTAAAAAGATATTCCACATTTATTTTATTTTGATTACTTTTATTTTACATTCGATTAAATTTTCATTTGTTTTATCAAATAATTCCAAATAATCTATGCTACGTACTTATTTTAAATTATTGCGCCAAAGCTCGTGAGTCGCGTGACCCATCCCTAGTTCGGGCATCGCCCATCCCTAGACAGTCCAATCAGCTGTGTTTGCAATTTAGGTTTATTTTTAAGTTTACTTTGGCGTTGCTAATAAAACCAACCTGCCGGGCGCCTCTTCATGTTCGTCGGTGGGCGTATTCAGCTTATATTAATTGGTGTGCCGCAGATAAGGCGGATTCGTAAACAAACGACGGCGAGCGCAGGCAAACATGTTGACACTCGGCTCGAGCAGCCAGCAGTCGTGTTTTGGAAGTCCGCCTAGTCGGAACCCTCGATTTCTGCGGATTGTGCGTTTTTCGGTTTAAGCTAAACATGCGACGAGTTCCCAGGCGTTCTATTTAGGCGACGAGCGGAAAGTGTTAATTCTTGAAACAACAAATATCGCCCGATGCAGCGGATTCCAATTGGCGGAGAAACGTGATCCCGGGTACAAACACATAAACAACACCTGCATGCATTCGAATTCGCCCGTGTGTGTGTGAGGCACATGCTTTTTCTGCCTGCCCTCGCATTTTTTGTGAATGAACTGGAAAACGCGCTAATTTAGCACCGATATAAAGCCATTCGGTATTGATCTTTGTGCCGCGGGTCAACGTAATTACGCCGAAATGAAGGCCACCGTCGATAAGGAGCTGCTGCCCATGAAGGCGCACTACTTTCTCTTCAATGCCGGTAAGTAACTCCCCCCCGAAAACCCATTAACTTAAGTACCGCGCATCGCTTACATCAGCCGATAAGCTCTCCCGTTTTTAGCGGCACGCACGTGCTGGGGGCTAAATGTTTTGCCGGCGATGGCGAACTTACGATCTCTATAAAGCTTCGATTTCGTCACATAGAACACTTGCACCCATGTTCGGAGATAAGAACAAAACAAACACCCGGAATAGAGACCATAGTCTAATGAACAGCCGATAAGCTAATGCAGGCCGATTGGGGTTACAATTCCCATCGAATGATGCAGCACTTTGATGGGTTTTAAATGGGGTATCACAGCAATTTCATTAGCTTTACACCATGAAATGATTACTAATTAACTGAACCACGGTTTTTTCACTAACAACTTGGGACTAGTATGAAAATAAAGTAAATATAAATTTATTAAAGAAAGTATGTTATTTAGACTTCATATATGTATATGTATATAAAAAATATTTAAATGAATGCCATGGTATAACTTTTAAAATAAGGAACATAAAAACTGAGAATAGGCGTTAAAAGTAACCTTAATAAGGTTTAAAATTAAATGCTTGATTTGAAATCTTATATTGGATCGTGTCTAATGAAATCAACACTTAAAAATCAAGAAGAAATTGTATACGGAAGCAGATCAATTAATTTAACATTTTTATAGCTTTATATTGGAATGGAAAATTCTGAACACTAATGTCTGGGGTCTAATAATTGAACACTTTATTCGAGTTAAAGCCGCATGGGAACAACATTTTTTCAATTTCCAATCTGACTTTAATTGCCGAAATTGACTCACATTTCATTTCTTGTTAATTCAGATAAGCATAATGGCAATAAATTAAAGAAACCCAAACTATTTCTGAGATTTTTTTCTGTGAATTAATGATGATTTCAAATGCTGAAGAAATCGTATTATTTTTTGGAAAAAGCTAAAAAAAATTACAGAAAGTTAAGGCAAGTTTGTCTACTTGACTAGCTTTATTGGGAAGATAATAATGTTATAAAGCAGAGTATTCTTAGAGATAAAAACACACATAATAGAGATTTGAGATAAGGCCATCCCAAAGTTGTTTGTACCATGACTAAAACATTTTCAAAATGACGAACCAGAAACACAGCGCAATCCAATTGTCAAATGTGGGCAAAGGTTAAGAAACAAGATTTACTGACAGCCCCACTGGCCCACTGAACTGCCGCTCCCCAAAAGTCATCAAATGTTAAGACGTGCCGACAGCCATGCCACTTTCAGCAATTAAAGCTTACTCTTACTTTTAATTCAATTAACACTAAGTTCTACTCCAAAACGAGTCGACGATATCTAATTCCACTTGTTTACGGTAGACTTTGCTTATCGGCGAGGGAGAAACACCCACCAGTAGACGAATGTGCTGAATATCATATTTAAGTGCCCATATGCATATCTCCACCCACTCGCTCATCAACTTATCAGCGCTAACGCGTCTATAAGATAATCTAGTGTTTTTTCTGCTTTATTATTATTATCTAGGCACCGCTCCCGTCGTCCCCTTCATGCCCACTTTAGCCGGGCAGCTGGGATACTCCCCCGCTGTTGTGGGAACCATGTACACGATTCTGCCCATCATCGGAATGCTGGCGAAGCCCCTATTCGGTTACATTGCAGACCGGTAAGACAATCTAACTAGTCTGTCTATCATCTTATCCTCCCTCTTTTCCTTAAATAGAAACACATAATTATCTTGTATTAATGAAAACAATTTCAAAAACTAAAAACTCTAATTTCCTTTCAATCAAAAGTATAACGAAAGAAGATAAGAGTGATTTAGATTGTAGGTTATCATATCAGTTTTTTGAAAACCATTTGGATACTTACTCAATAACGCTATCATTGATTTACTTGAGTTCTTTAATTACATAGTTGAGATTAGTTTTCGATTATATCAATTGTTAAAAAATATATCTGTTTTATTTGTTCTAATACTTCTTATTAAGTGGTCAATGTTTGTTGCTGCTTAACACTTAGATTAGATAGCATACGCATTATAATTGATAAAATTTTGCTATACAACAAATATTCCAATTCTATTTATGTGTCCAATAACTTTAAATATTACTTGTAGTTACTGGTATCTTCTCATTTATCTTCTTCTTAAATATACCCATATTAATAAACGAATAATTTCACACATCTGAAGGTACCATCGCCACCGATCGCTCTTCCTGGGTGGCCAGGTGCTCACGGGCATCGCCTTCTTCCTCATAATGTTCGTGCCGGGAATGGAGAAGCCGCTGCCCAAGGTGGAGTTCCACTGCCACCAGGGTGTCTCCGACGTGAGATTCTGCTCCGAGTACGGCGAGTGCGTCGAGCGGAATCTTGAGCGGTACTATGGAAATCGGACGCTGAACTGCCACATGAACTGCGAGGCCCAGCCCTTCATGTGGGACATTGTGTGCCAGGATTGGTTGCAGAACAAGACGGCCGATTGTGCCGCCAATCGCACCAACAGCCAGCTGGAATTCGGGACCAATATCAACATGAACAAGATTGAGAAGGATAAAAGCTGCATGTTCTTCATGGTTCCCCACGATCATGGTCAAGTGGCGGGCCAAAATGTGACGCTATATTGCCCAACGGACAAGGAGTACTTCAAGGCCAATTGCACCATGGACTGCCAGGAGGATTACCTTAAGGAGCAGCTGGCGGAGAGTGCTGTGATTAATACGAGTAGTGCTATGGCCATGCCGCAGTTCTGGCTGTTCTTCGGCCTGCTCATCTTCAGCTGGATCGGCATGGCGGTGGTGGTCAGCATCGGAGATGCCATCTGCTTTGGCATCCTCGGGGAGCGTCATCATCTGTACGGCAAACAGCGCTTGTGCGGCTCCCTGGGTTGGGGAGTCTTTGCCCTGCTGGCCGGTCTCCTTGTGGATCACATGTCCCTGGGTGAGGTGGACAAGAACTACACGGCTGTATTTTGGATGGCTTTGCTCATCATGGGATTCGATGTGTTTGCCTCGTCCAAGTTGAGGGTGAGAATATCACAGAAATAGTTTCCTTGAATTTTTAACAATTAAATACGCTCTGTTTCCAGCACACTCCCACCCACTTGTCCTCGAACATTGTGAAGGACGTGGGTCAGATGTTCCTCTCCGTTCGCTGCGTCATCTTCTTCTTGTGGTGCGTCGCAATTGGACTTGGAACGGCGCTGATCTGGAACTTTCTGTTCATCTACCTGGAGCAGCTGGACAAGGCGTTCGAAGGGTGTGATAGCTCGATTAAGACCCTGGAAGGCTTGGTCATGGGCATCCAGTGCTTTGGCGGCGAGCTGCCCTTCTTTTTCCTCTCCGGATGGATTCTGAAGAAGATCGGACATGTGAATGCCATGAGTCTGGTGCTCTTTGGATTCGGAGTGCGATTTATTCTGTACTCGATGCTGCAGAATCCCTGGTACATCCTGCCCATCGAACTGTTGAACGGCGTGACCTTTGGGCTCTTTTACGCCACGATGGCCTCATATGCGAGCATTGTGGCACCGCCGGGAACGGATGCAACGATGCAGGTGGGTTTAATGCCTTTGAGGAGTGGCTACAATGGATAATTTCCTTTCTTCCCCATAACAGAGTCTGGTTGGTGCGATTTTCGAGGGCGTAGGTGTCTCCATGGGCAGCCTGATCGGTGGACAGCTCTTTGAATCGGTTTCTGCGCGTACCACTTTTGAGATCTTCGGAATAGGCGCCTTCATTATCTTCGTAATCCACGTGTCCCTTCAACTGTACCTGCAGCGTAATAGAAACATCGACGAAAATGGTAAGGGTAGGGTCTCTACTGCCACCGCTACTCCCTCAGCCTCTGCATCTTTGGAGACGGACAAGCCTAAAAATACTGACAATAAAGACGGTGACGAGTTCCGCGAAGTCGACCTGACTTGATGCTGACCAAGATCCCCTTCATCCTTTTTTATCTCTGTATAAATGGGATAATTTTACGAGAAGGCTAGCTTCCTAAAGTATTAACCCTTTAAAATGCAGTGTAGATAGTAAAATCCCCATTTGGCAAATGTGCTTAAAATCGATATTAATTTAACACCTAAACCACCAAACATCTTTGTAAGATCTGCCATTGAATTTATTTTTTACTGTTTGACGATTTTCTACTGATAACAGACATACAGGCTCAAAATGAATTTAAAATACTATAGCCAGATTAAGTAAGTTTTGTAATATATGAATCAATCGATGATAATCTTATCATATTTTTTTCGATTTATATGTATGTGAACTGAAATTCAAAAAAATAATATGACTGTTCATATTTGGGAAATAAACGAACATTTTTCTGACAATCAATTTATAGATTGTTTAAAATATATAAACCGTTTTTAAACCATTATATTAACTACCCTATTTTATACCTACATTTAAATTTATTTTATTAATTTATAAAAAATATTTATAAACGTTTCACTAACTTTTCCGAATATTTTTAGGCACTGTCAAGTATTTCGCACCGACAGATGCAATGCACATGCTGAATGATCAGGAGTATAGTAGAGTTAGCTAAACGCTGTTTGTTTTGACCGCATCACCACCCACAACACCAATCACCAACGAACCAGCAACAGCGACAACAAGAGGCCACGCTTCTACTGTTCAACTGAATGCTCCACTCGAACATCTTTCTACTCTCGAAGCTGCATGTTGAATCAATGTACCTACCTGTATTGTAAACGTGCTTTAATTAAGTAGTAACTTATCTTAGTCACCCCACACTCCCGCAGATCGCCACCTACGTGCATGTCGCGTAAGCGAGACCCCTCCTCATTTAACTTTGAAATGAAACCAATGTGAGAACTTAATTATTTGTAGACTTTCAAGCGCAGCTGTTTGTTTGCATGTTCTAGTAGTTACAAACAATGTTTACCGTGAATCTAAGTTTAAATAAGCCGCTGCCTTGGCGCTGTGATTGTTCAACTATTGTTTCTCCACACCATCTTAATGTTTAACAAATTTGTATATTTATAAATAATATTTGTAGCTAAATGTATCGTAGTCATTGGCTTCCCTTAGATCGGGTGCATGTAGCTCTTTTCTTTCTGCGAAATCTCTCAAGTATTTACTTAACTATACACAATATACAATAATGTTTTTCGATCTATCGCAGTAGCCAGTTCTTATACCATATACAATTTTAATTACTATGTATCCAAATGGTTAAACTTTTGTTCAACTGTTATCTGTGTTAAGTTGTTAGCTAGTTGTTAACGAGAATCCCAATGTAAATGCGCCTTAACGGGGTGTATAACTCGTAAAATCCGAGATCCACCTGGTTTTACTGGCTGCCGATGAGTGACTCCTCGTGCTGTTGCTTCTCGAGTTTACGCTGGTAGTCGCGTTGCTTGCAGGCCGCCACGTTTGCGGCGCGTTTCTGTAATCAGCAATTCAAAGTTAATAAACATTTTAATCAACACCGTTTTTAATTTTTGATTACTTCCTTTACTGCTTTATTATGGGTTTTTTTTTTGTTCTTAAATCATTTCTTACCTTTAATTCTTTGGTGCGCTGGTAGACGCCCTGCATTTCCTTCTTGATCTTTGCTAGTTTTTCTTTGTACCGCTTGACATCGCTCATCTGCATAAGAGGAAGTGGTAATTGAGCCAGTTACTTTATATTGTATAATGCCAAGTTGCTTTGTTCGCGTTTGTCTTTAGATTAGATTGTGATCACAGACATTTGACTGCACCTACTGATAAGATTTTGACCAACTTAATTAGCTGAGCTTTCTCATAAACAATGATATTGTGCCTTAGAAAATGGCCCCAATTGGTCTGAAAGATTGATTGTAACCTAGTTATCAAACTGATGTCTAAAAAGCTTCCACCGCACCTTGGAAATGTATGTTGTACTGGACACTTTTGGTTCCTCATCAATCTCGATATTTGAATAATGCATTTTGTTATTACAAAAATTGAGTGAAACTATTAACAAAATAAATTGTTTACTTTAATTCTAAAATAAAAGTAAATAAAATAATAAAAATAAAATGTAATACCTTTCACAAAATAAACATAATTTTCGACTTAATAATAAGTAGTGGAAGTACAAGTTTTTTATGAAGAATAAGGATACGATCAAATTTGAATTTTAGGGTTGAAAATACGATATATGTATGTATAAAATAAAATCCAAAGATTAGCTTTGGAATGTGACTTAATCAAAACCGAGAGAAAGTGGTATGAACATGACCTGATTCCAAATATCTTAAAATAATGTTGATAAAATCTGGAAATTCTCATATAAACTTACCATGTCATTCAGTCTGGCAACTTCGCTGCAGTCCAGTTTGTATTTCTCCTTGGACAAATCGATGTATATTTTGTTCTGCCGTCCACTGAAATGAGATTACATGTTCGTAGTGATCTTGGATTCTGAACCAAGTACTACTTACATTAATTCCCTGAGCTGGGAACGCACGTGTTCCAGTGGAGGTTCCGCTATCTGCAGGACTCCAGCGGACAACTGCAAAGCGGCTAGACTGCCCATAACATCCTGATCCTTGGAGGAGCAACAGGTTTCCGAATCTTGTTTTGGGTTTCCATTTTGGGAGGATTGAGCTGTCTGATCAGGCAGCTCATCGAGAACACTAAGATGGTGGATTTGATGCATTGTAGATCAATTAAACAGGGTTTTGTTAACCTTACCTATTTATATTGCTACTTTTTAACATAATAACAAAAACTTATGGGGAAAATCAAAACAATAAGCGGAAAACAGCTGATTAGTCGACGTGATTAAATAGAGGAGATATCGATAGATTTCTTGAAGCTCCTACAATTTCTATTAATTATTTTTCTAATTTTTTTTATATTTAAAATTTGTTAGATTTTTTATTTATTTGTTTTTAAATGACTGTTTTTTAATGAAAGGTAACCGATACTTATTAGCCGGATAATTTTATCCATTATCCGTATACACAGCCAAGTTTCAAACCAATTTAGTCGTGACACCTAATGCAGTTTTGCAGCCTTTGAACAGCTGATTGTTTATTTAGAATCTAATTTCTAAAAACAAATTATTTAAATGCGCTGTGCTGTAAAAAATTGCGGAAATAATAATCGCAATTCCAATAGAAAGAAATGGCGATACTTTCACTTCCCCAAAGAAAAGGAACTCCTCCAAAAATGGATCGATTTCTGTCAGCGGAATAATATTAATTCCGCCACAGGTATTATTTAACAACAACTGTTTAAAAAGTAAACAAATTATGAGTGCATCTTTTTTAAAACAGCTTGTATTTGCAATGAGCACTTTGCACCCGATGATTTTGAGCGGAATCTGCAGTACGAACTTGGATTTACCCGGAAGAATCCAACTAAACTTAAGCCAGGCTCATTTCCAAGCCTAAATAGACCCCAAAAGTTGGTTAAAGACAAGCGTAGAAAAACTGAAAGGGATTCTGCAAATGTTTCCAAAGCTGGATCTGTCAAGAATGCCAATAGCGATTCTGAATTTTCCCAAGAAGAAACGCAGTCTCCACAGGCCCATGAGACCATTGAAATCCAACTCTGTAACTTTACTACCGATTTTGAGGACTTGGAAGAAAGTTCACCAAGGGATTTTAATGAAGTTTTGGAGCTAAAAGGTGCTTCTGAAGGGAGTGGGTCCTCCCAATCACTTAGGGATACCGATACTCTTCAAAGTCACAGGCACTTGGAAGTGGAAATTCTTGATCCGATGAACCCTCAATCGAATGCCAAGGACCATGTGGAGATAGTGGATTCAGTTGGAGACAATTATGTGAAGCACTTGGAGCACGAAGTGTAAGTAAAATAAATAGATAATAAATAATCCGTTTTTAATAATATCTATACATCTCCAGATGTTCTCTGAAGCGGGAGGTATTTTTTCTTAAGAGCGAACGCAAGAAACTAATGGAAGAAATTCAAAATCTCAAAGACACTATTCGAAGATCATAATCTATAAAAGCCAACCTCGACGTCATATTTTTAATGCTTTTTTTAAAGGGAAGAATTACTGGCTTTAAGAACACTGATAAAAATAAAAATTGGACTGACTAATTATTATCTAAGTACAGGCATAAAAAAAGTTATTGTAGATATGCTTCGAATTATTTAATATTTAACTTAAAATTCTAGGTTAAAAATAAATTTGAATAATTGAAAACATACACTTCTGAATTTTTATCCCCATCCTTAGTTTAAACTTTAAACTTTAAGGAAACCCTTTTTTGTTAGTATGAAGTCTAACTTAAAAGTAAGTTGATAGACAGAAATATTATAAAAATTCGTAGCTGCCAAGGACAAGGATTTATTTTACATACGGTGGGCAGACGTCTCAGATAAAATTCCAGAAAAATATGTTTGTACCTAGCAGTACTACTTCTGCCCTTTCTGTCAACTTAGGCAAAAAATCAGCGGGTAATGGTACTCTTAAATATTTTTAGGTGTCCGTGTTTATCTTTCCAGGAATTTTTCGGTAATCGCGGTGCGGTAATTTTCGCCAAGGGCAAAGTCATTACAGCAGGCAAGAAACCTTATTCTGAAAAATTCCCAATTTCGCCTACCTGGAGGAGTATAAAACCTGTGGTCTACTGGCAATCGATCTGCACTGCAAGCGATGTTCTCCGACCGACAACATCCATCGCGGACCGCTGACAGCTTCTGGCGGAGCTCCACGGACCTGGCGCTGGATCTTCGCGGAACCTAAGGACCAGATGGCGAGCCCATCGAATCAAACACAGCCTGGACCAACTCTGAGGATCCAATCATCAGTAGCTTGCGGTGTCAGCAAATTAGCCGAATTTAGACAATTGTAAATTTTAGCTCTATTCTATAGACCAATTGTACATTTTAGTTAATGCTCTAGCTCAATTGTATATATACATCATCACAATTGTATATACCTAGTTAGCCAATTTAATCTAAGTAGTGAAATTGTATATAAAATCCTTAACAAATTTTTAGCCAATTCAATAGACCAATTGTATATATGAGCAAAAATGTAGACAAATATTTACAAATAATGTAGCCAAATTTTTAGTTCAATTGTACATACTTAAACAAAAAATTAAAAAAAAATTGTACATATTTATTTTAAATATGCGTGATATTCTTGCAATAAAATAAAATTTAAAAAATTAACACTTTTATTTTGTATTCTCCTGGACAAAACAGTTTAAGTATTTAAAATTTCAACCAAATAATTACTTCTGTCAAAAATTTAGTTCTTGGACAAATTCTTTGACCAGATCACTTTCATTGAAGCTAAATATATTTAGCCAAAGGACCATAAATAAATTTCCCTTAGGAAATTAGTAATTGATTCAGAATCTCGGAAAAATAGATTAATAAAATAAAATTATCCTTTCCTCCTTTTAATAAGAAATATTAATTTTCAAAATAGAATCGTTTTAAGTACAATTTATAGAAAAAGCCTTGCTATATTTGAATAGTCATGTTTCGTTTAAACATTATTTTAATGTTAACAATTCGGTACATTGTTGCTGTTACAATAACAATTGCATCTCTGTTGAAAATATATTAACTAAACTAAAGCACGTTATTGCGAACATACAAATTAAGAACCTATCTGTGATGAACACAAAGAATACCTAAAAATAATAACTTAAAAACCAAATTTGTACTAACTAAATTAGTAGGTAAGCATTATATTTGGGCAGACGATCTTGGCTGATCGCTTGAGATGGAGGGCTCTATGGGCAGTTGGAAGCGTGACAGACTCATCTTTTATCCCTTTTTGAAGTCGAGAAGATCGTCCAGAGCCGCCGCCTTGCCGGAATCGTCCTTTTCCAATTCCGCCCGCGTGCAGCGGCCACAGCAATCGGCCGAGGGTTTGTTCTCGCACTCTCCTATCGCCGGTGGCTTGAAGTTGGGAGTCCAGGGTCCCAGGCTGCCGCTGGCATAGAAGTCCATCGGGTAAGCATTGTTGCGTGGCGACGAGTTGTGAGGGGTCCACTCGACATCGCCAAGAACCACGGACAGTTCGTAGGGATTCAACAGCGGTTGGGTGAAGGCGGATCCCCAGTCGATCGAAAGTCGCGGGCAAGCGATCTGCACAAAGGCGTCAATGTCAGCGAAAAGAGCCAATTTCTGCGGAAAGATCTCCGACAGCAGGAGGGTGGTGGTCTCTATGCCCTTGGCGTGCAGTCGCTTCTCCAAAAACCGATGCACCCGCGAACTGCCCTGTCTTCCGAGTGTTCCCAGTATGATGCCGATGCGGCGCGCTTTCTTAGACCGCTGCACAGCGTCCAGGCGAAGATTCTGCATGGCCCTGTGGTCGTACTCCTCTGTGGTAAACTTCTTCTCATAGGGATCGTACTTGTAGGCCTGAAATTAATAGAGAAAACGATGTCAAATAAACCACAAGCTCTCCATTAAGATTTAACAGTCACCTACCTTTAGCAGTGGGTTGGCAATCATTGCGGATTCCAGGTGAAAACGACCGTCTCCCAGGTAAATGATCATCTTCGCCGTCTCCGGCAGCTGTGGCGATGTGCAGCCCAGAATCTCTCCGGGACTAAGTGGCTTGGCCTGAGGTACTATCACATCATAGCCGGCTGCCTTCAGCTCCGTGGAGGCAGCCTGCAGCGTTGTTACGAACTGTATGGTGCTGACCAAAGCTATCTGGCCCACCTCCGGGCGGAAGTTTAGCTTTACGGAGTCCAGGAAGTGCAGCGGATCGATTTTGATGTCCACGAAAATGTACAGCACCTTGATGCCGCACGTCTGGTCCACGGGAATGAGGCAGCTGTGGCCGTAGTGGACCAGCAGATCGGCTCCCAAAGCCTTGGCCGTGTAGTCGTCCACGCAGCAGGCTCCGTAAGTCACATCGCCCATAATCACAGTATCCGCGCTGGTGAATCGCTCCACGATGTCGCTGATGACCATGGCGTACATCAACAGGCCCTCCGGCAGCTGCAGCGCCACTCGTTTAGCCTTCATCTCCTTTATCCGCCAGATGGTCTTGTGCATCTCAAAGTTGTAGTTCGCGGGCAGGCGGTCGATGGCCTGCTGCAGCACTGGATCATCGAGCAGCTCCTGGGGAATCCGATTGATGCGCGCCTTGGGCTTGAACACCTTCTTGGGCCTGGCACGGACCACCACCACATCGGTGCTCTCGCTGGTCTGCAGGTTGCTGCTCGGTTGGATCACGTCCAACATGGTGCTAAAATGGTATGAAGACAAAACAGAAAATTAGTTTTCTTGGTATATTTTTTAACTATGGAAAGAACATTAATCTCGATTTAAAAAAATATTTATTTATGTAAACAGATGTTTTTTAGGGGTTTACCAATTTTTAAGAATTATATTAATGGCAAGCCAAGCTAAGGTCAAGATTGTTTTGATTAATAGAAATTATGGATTCGGATTTAAATTTGTTTGTGCGGTGATAAGTTCGGCAAATAAACAATGAACAAAGAGACGGCGCATCGGGTGAATTTGGATGATGCGACTGGCGTACGTGACTGCTGAATGGAGTGGAATGGGAGGACCGGCCCCCTTGGATTGCAGGCAACCGGAAAAGCAAAACCCGAATTCTTATAATTAGCCCACGCCAGGTGGGTGAATCACCGAATGGACGGCCCCACCTTGGGGAAACACTTTGGAACAGGCACTTTCAAATCGGAGCGGCACCAAGGTCTGAATTAACAATTGGCATTAAGACAGCAAAACAAACTGGTGTTCTATGTAGTAAACACTAGGTGCAGAACATGTCGAAAGGGTTTAGTAAACAATTATTACTATTTATTTATTGCTAAATTATTTGCTCAAAAAGTACTAAATTATAAGTGCTTAGTAAATCGTTTAAATAGTTTTATGATTTAACTTGAAAGTTCTTCGTTTTTAAAGAAAGCAAAGATTGTAATACATTTTTTTGAATTTTATTTAATAATTTTTAAAACTGAACTAGAACCTTTTGTACTATATTTGTTTACTTCACAAACAATTTGTATTAAGTTCACTTGAATGGCCTTTGTCTTACCCGTGGTACGTGTTTAGCTAACAAATATAGTACTATTTAAATAAATACTCGAACTGTACGGATTGGGATCGTTCGATACCTTTATCAGTTGGACGTTAGACGCTGTCTGAATTTCAGGGGTTGCGTTTTGCGTTTGGCTGCTGCACAGAAATTGGTCACTGAACTTTCCGTATGTGTTGCGCCATTGATAACTGTTTCTGAGTCACGTAGGCCGCACACCATGCAACACGGAACGGGTTACTTTTGCTACCTGACCCCGCTAATTACCCCGACTTGAAAGGGTAGAAAGTACTGCAGATCGGAGTAATTAACCTGTGCTTTCACTCTATATTGCTAGTTTACACATGGCGTAGTTATTATATCACTGGCAGAGATTATGAATTGCCCTTGGCCCTTCAATTTGTAGCAAAGTGTAATTCCGGCACGTTTGCTTTCACAGCTGATGCCAAATTGTTGCTTCGATTAGCTTTCTTTTTAAAACAGTGTATTATCGTTAATTGCTAAGTGTTTTGTCTTGGCCTTTTCTTATATTTCACTTACAATTTCTGTTTTTTAATCGTTTTTTATAAAAGTTAAAATAACTTGTGCTCAATCCCGCGTGTGAATGACGAATGACAACAGCTGACTGGTCCAATTGGTTCGTGAACTTGAGAGCCACGACTGGAACTGGTTCAAAATAAAGAACGAGTTGTACACAACACTGAAATTTTACAGTGTTGAGAAATGAAGCACATTGTTATGCGCGGTTTTTTAAAATTGTAACCAGATATTCAGATAAAGCCAGATTTTCTCTACAAAGTCCATTTATTGTAATTAACAGTAAAATGGTACAGTTCCAAAGGACCTTTACAGCTTTGAGCTCTCCGCCTCGGACACATCAGCCTCCTCCGCATCCTCTGTAATTAAGAAAATAAGAATAGAATTGGTGGGAATTCCCGATACATGGCCACAAATCAAAAACCGCCTTCGTTCACCTACGCTTTCCGCCGGGCAGTCGCCTTTGGCGTTCCTGTTCCACGGCTGCAAAATATTCCGCGGCGGCCTGTTCGCAGGCTCCCTCGAATGGAGCCATATTGACCTTGCCGTTGATCATCATGTTGTCCCCCTGATCCTGACCATGGTTGGCCTTGACCTTCAGCTTGCTCTCCCTGGACTTGGCCTCAAGGATCTTCTCACGGCGATTCTCTCGCTCGAACATCTGTAGGAAGGATTTTTGGTTAAAATAATGATAATTCCGTTTCAAATTCGAATCTTACAGCCGTTAGCAGGGGTTTGTCGTTCTTAGCGGACATCACCATGTTGTCGGAGACCTCGATGAGGAAGGTGGCTCCCAACTGACTCCCACAGCTCACAAACTTTCCGTTCTCGTTGGTCCTGACACAATAGAGGGGTTCATCACACACCTTTACCGTGAGTACCGGCTCGTTCTGTTGCTGCAGCAGATCCCACGTGTCCAAAACCCCATCCATGCGGGTTATGAAGAACTGCGAAACCCTGGAAGTTATATTACAAGTCAATGATATAATATTTATTTTTCAATTACATTTTTAAGTAGCATTATTTTTGGAGACTTTAATGAAATATATTTTCAGTAGCATTGAAACCAGGGACCGAAAATAACAGTTATTTTATTATTTTAAATAAAAAAATCATACGCTTAGGATAACACAAAAAATTTGAGAAAAAAATCATAAAGCCAATTTAATGCGGCCTATTCATATCCGCAATGATCTAAAAATTCTTAAATTTTTCAAAATTGCTTTCAATTTGAAACCTTCCAATGCCAACGAAATGTGTTTTAAGTAGCATTGCTTTTTTTCAATGCCAATGAAATATTTTTCAGTAACATTACTATTTTAACAATCTAATGTTTGTTTTCAGAAGCATTACTTTCTACAATGCCAATGAAAAGTGTTTTCAGTAGCACTACCTTTTTCATGAATCATGATATTTCAAAAACAATGCTAAATTAGCATTGCTAATGCTTATAGACACAACTCTGGATAAATACTATCCCTAGAAATGATTACTCACTTGGTATAGCTCCAAGCGCCATCGGTCAGCATGGAGCTGCTGCTCTTGGTCCAGATGATGGAGCTCTCCCTGCAATCCTCCGACCAGATCCGGGCACACCAGTCGCCCACGGTGAGGAAGTTCTTGACAAAGGCCGGATTGCGGGTGATGGCATACACGGGGCCCAGGTGGCACATCATCTGTAGGAAGAGAGTATCATTTACAAGAAATCTTCTATAAACCCCTATAAACACCTTACCCGAATCTGAATCTTCTCCGTCGGCGTCTTGCCCTTCCGATTGCAGGAGAACAGCATGCCCATCTCGGTGCCCGCCATGAATCTGGTGGGTATGGTGGTCTCGTACTCCAGCACCGAAATGCCGTAGGATCGCGACAGATCCTGGTCGTCGCTCTTCACCGGATCCATGAGCAGGCGGTCCAGCGGTTCGGTGAGCTTGCGGGTGTCCCACCACAGCACCTGACCATCGGAGCCGCCGGAGAAGAACTCGGTGCCGCTCTTCGAGTTGTTCCACAGCACCGAGTTGACCGGATCCCGATGGCACACCTCCCGTTCGCTGATCATCACCGGATGTTTCCCGTGTCGCGTGTCCCAGGCGGCCACCTGACCATTGTACATCCCACTCACCAGACTAGTGGGATCCTTCTGATTGTACTCCAGGCAGACGCACGGCACCTTGGGTTCCAGGGTGAGGAAGGGCTCGTTGGGGTTCTCCACCTCCCAGATGTACGAGTTGCACTTCTGGTTGGACTTGTCGCCCTGGAACCGCATGTCGCAATGGCTCACGGCCATCTTGATGCCGCCATCCGGGGACCAGGAAAGATGCTTCACCGGCACCTTGATGGGATTTGGATCCCGGTAGACATTTACAGTCCGTGATTTACAAGGTTCGGGCAGTGGAGCGGGATCGAGGTTTTCGAAGTAGTTCTCATAGATGTTGACCGCATTGTTCTGGTGGATATAATGCTCCATGGGCTTGGTGAGATTCATCACCTGTGTGATATAATTCTCGTCCTTTTCGATTTTCCGCTTGTATCGCACTGTCTGCTCGGGATCGTGCATATTGATGTCCTTTGGCCAACCGCCCTCATTGTGGGTGATCCCAGTGCTCTTGTACGTCGCCCTCTCCGTATTGGCCACACTCAGTGAGGTTTGTCCCGCATATTGCGTCACCCGGTCAACGGGGTTCTGCAGAATGTAGTTCTTGACCAGCTCCGGATTGGAGTTCTCGCTGAAGACCACCTCATCCTTGTCCTCGAAGGTGACGCGGGCCCCAAAGGAGCGTCGCTCCTTCTTGAAAATAAACTCCATTTTAGCAGGAGCCTAAATAAACATGTAGCTACTCTTCGGTTTCGCTGACAATATAAAGAAAATTTTGTAGGGCCCATAAATGATTGATTTCTTCCATGGCAACTGGCTGTTTGTTCAATATCTGCTTCGATTTCAAGGGCCTTCTAAATAAATATATAGGATATTTTTCCCAATTCCAGTTCTCTTCCCCAATTAAACAATCAAAATGATCCACAGATATTTGCAAGTTTATTTTAAACATAAAATGAGAGATTTATTTCGCTTAGAAATGTTTGCAAACAAATGATTGAGAATGCTAAAACTTTCGTACTTACAATAGTAATAGTTGTAGTAAAATAATGTGAAATCGAACTGGTATTTTACAGGGAAATCATGAGGCCTGGATCGGGGTTTCTACTAACGGGTATCTATACACATTAACATTATCTATATTTCGGCTTTGTTTTATTGCCAATTAAGAGGGTCTTGTTTCCGATCTTAGGGTTAGGATTAATCTGCTGTCTGCACTCCATAAAATTACTCTTATACTGGCGACGATCTCTAGTATTTGTATATAGCATTGCTTGGCGGCAAATAGCTTGAAGATTTGTTATCGTTAGGTAGGTGTATTCGTTTCTAGCTTTGCTTCCTGCAACATCACATGATTTCCCCACTCTACAACTCTCTTCTACTCGGAACTACGGATCGAATCGGGGTAACTAGAGTTGGTTGATTTGATTTCATTTGATCGGAACTTATAATACAATTTAGCACCAAAAGCAGCTGATGTACGTAAAATAAACTACACTTAACCCCTACAATAGATCGCTCAAAAGTCATGCATAAAAGTGTATTTTTCGTTTGTCTTAAAATCAACAAATCGGTAATTATATATACTGGTACTTTAAAAATAGTATCTCGATTCACGTCTTGCAATAATCAGTTTGACAAAAAATAATCGCTTATTCTCGTTTTTGTGGCAGTTCGTTTTGCGTGTCCTAAATAACTCTATAACCACCCCGACCTCAAGGATTACCGACCCAAAATTGGACCCTGGCAACAGACACGCGACTTATAGTGATCCTGGGTTACGCAGATGTGATAATACAACAAGTTGGCAGAGAACTGAACTGAAGCCGCTCCGAACTAGAATCTTAACCTGGACAAACTGCAAACCAATCGAAACGAGCCTGGCATATACATATGTAGTTATAGATTAGGGATTTCTTTATCACTTTGCTTTTTCTGATCCACTCCTCGACCATCCAATCCACTCCAAGGGTAAAACTTTAACACACGCATAAAGGACTTTTCCACTCCTCCGTAAAAATACTTTCGATCTATCTCTATCTCTCTCCCTTGGTCCAAGTCCAAACCCACGGCTTACAACGAGAAGTACTTGAGAAACTGGGCCGGGGGCACCGGTTGGGCCAGGGCCAGCTGGCCGCCGGCCTCCTCCAGGCGCTGCTTGTAGTCGGGACTCTGGTCCACGATGCACGGATGCCCATCGGAGGGCCAGAAGAGGCAGCAGCAGGAGCGGCACAGGGCCAGCACCTCGGCGAACTGGTAGTCGTCGTTGACGCCGTAGGTGCGGCGCAGCTGGTGGTAGATCTGCTTCCAGTCCTTGATCTCGCCCATCTGCTTGAACTTGTCCAGGTCGAGGATGGTGTGGATCTGTCGCTGGTTGAAGTGGAAGCGGGTCAGCTCGCGCCAGATGCGCTGCTCGGAGACCAGCTTGGCCATGGTCTCCCAGGCCTCGGCGGCCGACTCCAGATCCCTGTGGTCGGCGATGCACAGGATGATCTCCCGCACACACTCCTCCGGCAGCTCGTGCAGCTTAGGCTTGGCCTCCGGGTCGGGCTGAAAGAATAGTATGAGATAAGTATGATCTAGAGTGACTTCTGTGGAAGTCGCCTTACCTCTCTGATTTCAATCTGGCTGGCCACCCGCTGGATCCGCTTGATGGTGGCCATGTGCTCCTTCCACAGGTAGGTGCTGCCCAGGGGCTTGCCCCAGCACTTCTGGTTCTCCTGGCTGACGATGTGCTCCAGCTTCAAAGCCAGGCCACGCAGCACATTCGGATGCTGCTGGCTGTCATTTACTGTGGGTAAAAAAAGTACTGATGAGCAGGGATTAAGGGAGGATGGAATAAGAATCACTCACCATGCGAGGCCACCTCCTCGACCATTTGGAGGAGCTGCCGCTGGGCACTGCCCGGCAGACTGGCGATGCCCTTGTTGGACACCAGCAGCAGGAAGGCGCAGATGTAGTGGAACCTCTTGCGGTCGCGCACCGATCGCCGGAAGTCCAGACGCTTCACAGCCTCGCTGAGCCCATTGAAGCCGGCTATCTCCCGGGTGCACCGGATGGTGATGTGGTAGTGCGGCGGCATCACCGCATCCTCCTCCGAACTGTCGCTGTCCTGGTAGCTGCTGCTTCCCTCCGAGTGGTGCCTGCAAGAGATGGGAAAATATCATTAAAATCATATGGTATTTTAGAGGAGTTCCTTAATATAATAGGTCTTTTATATGGGGGCTTTTTAAATATACACCAAAAAAAAAAATAGTCATTGAAACGAAAATATTGTTACATGAATTCTACACTATTGGGTGTCAAATTTGCATCAATAAGATGAGTATTAAAATAATACTTTCAATACCATAGGTATTGGTATAGAAATGAAAATACAAAATATTAGTTTAATAATATTTCATATGAAATGAATACTACTGAGTATAGAATTTGTATTATTAAGGCTCAGATGACACATTCAATTTTTAACGTCAATTTATTGTAGTAATTTTTTTTTTTAATGGGACTTTAAACGAGCGCGAGAAAGAACTTACTATTTTTGGCTGCTCTACCAATAACACCAATAGTAAAGGCGCGATATCATATTAATCCTTACCCGCTTGCACTTCTTAAAACTCACACAAATGAAAAATTGTCACAATAAATTAACGCTAAAAATTGAATGTGTCATCTGAGCCTTAGGATTAGGATCTAGTATATTTTTAATACAACGCTTGGAGAGTTAACACTTCCAAATTTTTTTTGGGCTTCATTTTGGGATTAATCCATAATAATTACGCTTTTTAAGCCGCACTACATTATTTAGTAACAATTAAGTATACTTTCCCCCAGTCTAAGGCCACATAATCCATTGTCAATGCAACATTTCGGAAGTGAATCGGTCCAACTCCATGGCACTCCCCTCAACTTGGGGGACTAGCCTGTTTGGCCAGTTTGGTGCCATGTGTTATGCCAACTCTTGGACTGCAATTGCAACTGCCATTTGGATTTGGCGGCTTACAAGTGTTAAACGCTTGTGAGCCGCTTTTCAAGAGGCGGAAGCTGGCCAATTTCCCACCATCTGATCTACGGCCCTGTCCGGTTATTAAATTAAGCAATTCGGAGAGGAAACCCAGCCGAGTGTCAAGTTTTTAGCCATGTTTAATGCAATTACATGCGGTGGGTCGCGTAATTTGTGAAATTGTACACGTTTGCAATTCAATTTTGAAGTGTGTTTTTAAGTGTCATTTGGGGGCTAAGAGAAAACGAAGGCGTTTACCAGATGGTATAAGCTTTGTGAACCTGGGATCATCTCACTGCCTTTTTATTATGAGGATTTATTTAATAGATTAACTCTAAAGTTATATTTTAAAACATATTTCCATGCCATGTTTATACTCTCTACCAAGGTTCACGAGAAAATAAAACAGCCTGAAATAATTAAACTTTAGGTATTTTCAAGTGCCAGTCTTCTAGACAGATTCCATATAAATTGGTATCTAGTTGAACTAAAAGCCATTAACGACCTTGAACATCGACATTTGCAGCGTTTGAAAGTTGCGAAAAACTACTAGCCAAGAAAATGTAATTACGAGGCAATTATGGGGGAAAACTTCAATCAGACAGAGTGCAGTCCCAAGAGACGAGCACAGTTTGACCCAGTTTAGAGGGAAATCAAAAACAATTTTGCGGCTTCCAAGGACAGGACGTGTCCTCGTCAAATCCACAACCGCAAATGGTCAAGGCGCATCGATTTGGTTGGCCTGGTCTTACAGGTATTTGTCCTGAGCATGGCGATGGCCTTCTCGAAAGCGGGCTAAATTTAATTTCGACCCAGAATTAGGTCCGTAATCAGTGGTAATCCACTCACGGTCCCAACAGAAGATGAGAAAGATGCTCCAAGGAGAGCAACAATCGGAGACAGGACGAAAGTGGGACGCGGAACTGGAAAAGTGAAAAAGTAAAAAACTAAAAGAACTAAAAAAGAAAAACGCACAAAAGCTCCCCGCCCCCAGCTGAGAACGTTGAGAGTCGAGTGTCGAGAGCCGAGTACCATGGTTGGGCCATCGTTGGCCTGGTCCAAAGTAGGTCACCGCCTTTATTGGCCACCATCTCGTATACGTAATGCAGGAGCGCTCGTGTGCATTGTACACCCATGTGTTGCTGCTATGATCTGTTATTGTTATGGTTTTCTTTTTTAGTTTTCGCATTGTGCTTTCGCATTTCATTTGAGTGACATTAGGGGATGTTGGGTTTATGTTAAAACGGTTTTAAACCAATTTAGATGACTTTTTTATGCCGCGTAGGGTTGTAAACTTTAAAGGAAGGAAGTTGAATTGGGGAAACATTTATAGAACCAATTTTTATATTAATTTTCAGTTAAGAATACAGTTTTATTTATAATTTTAATTAAATTTAATAGCAAATAGTATGTAATTGCTGCTATTAACGTGTTTAATTTATTAAAACTGGTTTAAACCAATTTAGATGACTTTTTTATGCCGCTTAGGTAGTAAACTTTAAAGAAAGGAAGTTGAATTGGGAAAACATTTATAATACCAATTATTATATTAATTTTCAGTAAAGAACACATTTTTACTTTTAATTTTATATCAATTTAATGGCAAATAATTTGTCATTGCTGCAATTAACATGTTTAATTTATTGTGAGCAGATAGATGTTTATTACCACCCGAAAGATAACTCCAAATCACCTGAATTGAGTCTCATTACTCACAGTATATAAAAGAAACAAAGAAATCAGACCATCCCAGCCAAAAACTTTATTATTGCAATTTTCATCGCCAATTATTGTGTTTTGATTATTTTTTCGCTTTCCGTTTTCTTGCTCGAAATTCGTGACGTGGTTGTCGCTGGCTGTGTTTTAGATAAATGTGCAATTATCTGCGGATCTGTGTAAAAATAGCTGGGGAACAATGAAATTGTTGCGCTTGCTCGGGCTGCGGCTCTTGCTCCCTGGAACCCACCGCCTCTTTTTTCTCCGGATCTGGCTATCCGATGGAAAACTCCGGCCCTGCCCACAGCCACAGCCATCACATCATCCAGCCAACAGACCAAATCCGCGGCCGACGACCAGACCACGTGAATCATATAAATCACTCAACGACGTCACCATCAAGCGTTCGTTTACCTTTCTCCAAGCGAATTAAACAAACGATTTGGAGTGCGGGGCCCTTTTGAGTGGCAGGCGCAGCGGGAAAAACTACGAGCTGCAGCGGAAAATCGCTTTTCTATTTTTACGCCTGTGACCTTTTTCGACATAAATAATTGAAAATGGAGTTGAGGACCAGTGAAGCAGCCAGAAAGCGCTTCGAATTTTTCTACTTTTAGAAACAGAAATTGGAGAAAATCACATATGTATGAGATACAGGCTCTCAATGGGCACGGAAAACTTCGGTTGCCAAAGATACTTATTATTAGGCATGTGGGCATGAGGCTTGGTTGCATTTTATGGAAGAAAGGAAAATCAAATAATTAAAGTAATTACAAGTTTTGAATGTCTACACTCAAATGACTTTTAAAATTTATATTTCGGTAATTAAATTGAAATTTTATTACATTTTTGAAATTTACTACTTTATTTTGTTACTTTTAAATTATAATTTTATATGTAATTATTAAACTCAATCCATAATCCCGTTTTATATTTGTAATATCTTGCTTTAATTAGATAAATAAGTGTTAGTGAGTTTGGTGTAAGTGTTACGCCAAAAAAACCAATTTATCAGCGCAAATTTCGAATCCATTAATCATTTTCAAGCCACTCAGTACACACGAGTGTTTTTTCTACATGTGCTCCAATATGTATAGCCATTTTTCGCGACCCCATGCATCTTGATAGAGTGGAAAAAGAAATGAAAAGACGGGAAAGAAAATCGATCAAAAACAGCGAGCGGGCGATCGCTGGTCCGCAGATGTGCAGCGAAGAGTGCAGTGAAAGTGGGTTCCAATTCCGACGACTCCGACTTCGACTTCGACTTGGAGTCCAAGTCGTCGGCACGTCCGCTTCGGATTCGCTTTTCCATGCAATCTGGCATTTCTAATTATTATTTTCAGGCATTATCTAATGGGTTCAGTGCCGGGCGACGACCATTTGAATTTTTAATTGACCAGAAAGAAAGTTGGGTAATGCTCAAAATGAGTGCTTAACACGGTTACGAAATGCACACACGCAAGTTCGCCGATAAGCCTGGTAAAAACGCTTTACGGTAGTCGGGAAAACTATATTGTAATACAATTTATGGATTTCGAGTAAGTCAGGCAAATACGTATGCTCCACTTCCCCCATTACGGAACCATTAACTTTTGAACTGAAATTTAAGTATATTGAAATTTCCGTCGCAATTGTAAAGTGTCAACATTAAAACCTTGCTATGCTGATAAGAAGGCATTACAAACGCCAAATGATTTTGAACTCTCGAAATTTGTGCGTTATTTTGAGATAATCCATGGAGTTACATAAGACAGAGCATCGTATAAACTACTAAAAGAACGCACACGCGGAAGATGTCAGGGAAAAATGGAGAGAACTTGAAGTGCACTTTTGACAAGTCATAAAGAACGCACTAAACCCATGGAGGGGGTGGTTATTTTTGGCCTTTCGAGTAGTCGTAAATGGGAAAAATGCGGAAATAACGCCACTCGTGATCTAGTCGGGCAGGAATATACAGATGAGGTTAAGGAAATACGACTAAAAGACCAATAAACACCAATTTCTATTTAAGTATTTGCCTTCAAATCTTTATAACAGTCGAAGAAAATGTCCATTACTAGATTTTAAAGATAAATTAATAACTTTTAAAAATTGTTTCAATAAATTGAACTAAATCTGAAATGGAAAATATATCATTTGTATATTCAGCACTATTATTTCGACCGCCGTTGTAAGAAGAATAAAGTCCCCAGAAACCTGAAAGTATTCCAAAATTAGAAATGCAACAAAGGTGGGCACCCAAATGCATATTAAGATCGGTTGAAACAACTTTGAGTGTCGGCCAGACGGGGAAATATCAGCCTTGGAAACTTCGAAACCCCAAAAGGAACACACATAGGTATGTAAATGTGCATTTACCAACCGTAGGCGTGAAACTCGGTCAAGTTTAGGCCAAAGTATGGGATTTGAGAGAGCTTGCAACGCCAGCAAAAGCTCAAGGTTCCGCACCGCCCACTTTCGACCTCCCAACTCCTTTTACCACCCCACTTCCTCACCGAATCGATTTTATTATATGTCAGTCACCAAATAAGCATTTTCAATAAATACAGGCACATTGGAAATCCATCAGCATGTCAAATTAAAAATGAATAAAAGTTACAAATTAGATGAAAAGGAAAGGGGTTAGACATGATTGAAAAGCCACATAAATATTATATTTAAGAAGACCTTGAAAGCCAATGTTTTTCTTTAAAAAAAAGGAAAGTAAACTTTGGAGTAAACACTACTATTTTAAGCTGAATGCTTAAACCTCTCTTGATAAATCAGAAGCATAAAAGCGCATCGTTTTTTGCTGGCCCGTTTTCACTCTCACCAACTATTGACTTTTTGTTCCACTTGCAATTTCCAATTGCATTCGAGCGAACAATGGCAATCAATCAAATGAGCAATCGATCAGATGGCGGAGATACAACCCAACTACCCATGGCAGCACTCTAGATACGGATATCGGTGGAGCTTCTGCTGCTTTCACAGCCATTTGGAGTGACTCACCGGATCGAATGTGGCTTTTCAATTGAGGCAGCCCAGTGCAATCACTAGCCCCAAACGACACTTTGAATAAATCAAGATTGTGGTACTCTAAACGCACCTCTTCAGGGGCATAAAACACATGGGTATATGTATTGTCAAACCATTGACGATGTTTTGCTGCCTGCGGCTTAAATTTGAGAAATCATCGATTCGGCCAACGAAGGGAAGTGGGTTCCATTGTCTGAGCCACAACAATTATTCGCTAGTTTGCTTTGGCCAACTTCAATGGCACCACTGGGCATTGGACCCAAAAACGAGTCTATTAAACTGAATGATTTAAAGATTTCGGCAGTGAAACCAACTGGACAATGCGACGATTCAATAGGCAATATTAGTTTTAAGGTTTAATATAAGCCAATATCAGAAATATATAGTCTTATAGAGATTAATAAATAAGGGAATAAAAATGGTGTCGAGGCCGAATAAATACTACGCAAATCTTTATCTTTACTGATAAGATTTCTGCAAATAGGTTTTGCATGTAGAACGTCGTACGACTTTGTTTTTGTGAAAAGGTAAACAACACATTTCAAAGCTCAAATCTAGTGATCAATTGCGATACGGAAGTCTGCCTGGACTAATTTTTGCTAATAGAAACGTGACTTAAAAAAGTGACTAATCAAATGCCACAGCACTAATTCAGTTTAAAATAGTTCATTCATATACGATAAGCAGCTAATCAATTAAATAACAGGGCTACGTATTTTGAAAAAAGCGTTTTTTTTACTTAGTGAAAATATATCTCGTTAAAACTATCTTATCGCACTTGCAATAAAACAACGTAGTTTTTGAATTGGATGAGTGAAAGATAACTAACAGAAGCCCATATAAGGTGCTATAAATATAGTATACTATATACAGTATACTGTTGGCTGTTTACCTAGGAGCCCCAACCTCTATTTATTCCATACTTGATAAATCAAATTAGATTTTTAAATTTACGGTTTTTAAGGTAAAAAAAAGAAGAAACAAATCAATGCGTTTCGCAATTTAAATTTGAGTTTATATTCCACAATTTAAATAATAAAAGCAACTTGAATATGTTTATTTTATCATTTTTTTCCTATCATTAACTTTTTGTAATAGACATTTGACTTATATCTAAAAATGTTTATGCAAGTGGGAATGGTATTTCTTCAACATAAATGTATAGAGGTTTTAATAATTGGGAAATCGACAATCAAAGGTCTTTTGTGATTAAAAACTGCGTAGACTTACCGCTTCCGTTTTCCGCCGCACTCGAGCACCTTGGAACGCTCCCAGCCGCCATCAGTTTTGATCCAAGTTTCGCCCGGGGACCGAAAATCTTTCGAAATGAACGCCATCTTTTACGGATCTGGATTCGGAATGAGTTGCCTTTGTCTTGTTGCACTAATTTCTGAACGATCGCTTTATTGTTTTTCGCGTGAGATAGTAGATTTGTATTGTTTGTTTACTTTTTACTGTTTAAGCGGACGGCGGTTGACGAAACGCGTTTGATTTAGCTGCAAGAGGGAATTTCGTAATTAATTGCAATTTTCTCGTTCCATAAGGCAATAAAACATTTTTGTTGGGAATTGACGTAATAAAAATTATAAGCCGAATTAAAGGTTTATAACGCTAAATATTGAATAATAAAAATTAAAGCTTAATATAATACCTGTTAAAAAATAATGGAAAACAATGAAATAAATGCAAAGGTTTATAAAAAAAATTGAAAGAATTGAAACGGATGTAAATTACCAAAGAATAAAAAAAATTTTAATTATAGCTTTTTCTTCGACTAACTAAGAACATGGCAATTAAAATTAAACAAGCGTTAAAGAAAAACCAAAACAAAAACAAAAGTTAGTCCATATAAGGGAAAAACAAGTGGAGAGCCCAAAGAGAGAGAGAGAGAATGAGAGAGCGCTCCACGACCAGCTGTTGGGTTTCCATGGTCTGTGGAGGAGGGGGGCGTTGGGGGACGCGGGGGCTCCGAAGTGTTGTGGCCCCTCTCTTTCTGGGGCTCTGGTTCGTCCGTAGGTACACAGCTGATTTCTGCAATTACGCGTTTGTTTTGCCTTTGTTGTTATTGGCCGTAAAATTTTCAGAGCCGTTTCCCAAACACGCAACCGAATTTGTACTTTCATTTCCGCATTTCAGAGCCACCGTATGTGGCTCTGGCTGCCAACATTGAGCCTAGGAATCACTAAACTCACGGATCTACGTACTCGAGTGAAAATGGAGCACGTTCTGGTATTGCGGAAAACGCAGTTTTCCCCCAAGCTCTAATTACGCACTTTGCAGCTATTTGCAATTACCGAGGAATTGCTGTGGCTGACTTGCAGGCAAGTAATGGCGCACTCTGCCTGGAAAAGCGCTTTTCGCTGCCGCACGTCACGTCGCACTCGAGCCACCAACGAAAGTGAACTGCCAATTTCTCAGGGCCCCAAATAGAGGAAATCTAAACTAAGCACTCGTTGTAACGGACGCAAACGCGCAGCTCGGTTTAAAGGGACCGTGTGTGGGGGCGCCAAAAAATACCACACACCGCTGGCGTTGCCATCTGAGGACTCACTGTGTAAAGTGCTGCCAGATCTGGGAATTAAGTTAGTGATGGTTTTAAAAATTCATTAGGGGGATTCCCTAAACTGTTGAATTGCTGAATTGTTGAAAATTCAACAAAAAATTTCAGCAATTAAGGGAACGACCCAAAATGGTTCCTGTTGAATTTTCAAACAGCTGTTATTTGTTGAAAAATTTCACGGAACTTAAAGCATGTAAAATTTGATTTATTATTGCTAGTTACTATCTAAAAGTGTTACCAAGGTAAAAAGAACCACAAATATGCTTTCTAAGTTGATTTTAAAACAAATAATACGTACTGGTGATACTAAAATGTTACAGGGTTGCCACGACTTTTAAAAAAAAGGTGACAACTCTGGCTTTTCAGCAATTCAACAAAATTTTCATCAGCCCCGAGGCTGTTGAATTGCTGAAATTTCTGAAACTTTACTTTCTATGGAACAGCTGATTAACAGCTGACCAAAATTCAACAATTCAGCAATTCAACAGTTTAGGGAATCCCCCTATTAACCATAGAACTTAGTAATTGCTTTAAAATGTCTGATATTATAAGGCAGCTTATTTCTATATCAGATTAATAGGTGGCAAAGGGCAGTGAGAACACTCTAGCCTCCAAATATGCAGCAGTGGAAACACGCTATATATCGCCACTGTCAGTGTGACCTTATGTAATGTGTGTACTATTCGTGTGCGAGATTTCATAATTCCCAGATCGACGAGGAAAACAGACGAATAAAACCCCATTTAGCAGCGTTTATAATGTCGGCATCGGAGCAGGGACCTAAGATCAAGTACGGGGAAAGCGCTCCGAAGCTGGACAAGGCGCAGCTGCAGTTCATGAAGCTGATTGAGGAGCAGAACCTGGACCGCGTGCAAAAGCTGAAGCGCATCCGCCGCAACAATCTGCTGACCGCCGGCGCCCTGGGAGTCTCCGTTTTGGCCATCTACGGCTACTCCATCTTTTCGGTGCAGCAGGAGAAGTTCCTGGACGACTTCGAGGAGCCCAAGAAGGTGTCTTCTTAGCTCCTAGCTCCATAGTTTCCCCTAGTTTGTAAGCGTTTTCTTCATCTTACACACAGTTTCTACACCTTTGAAGTCGTTGCACAACAAGGTGAGTGAGGATATCATCTTCTTTCGATCAAATTCTATATAATGATTCCCGCAGATGACCCAAGCAAGTGCCCGTGTGCTGCAGAGCGGCATGCGCCTGCCGCCCATGCCCACGATTCGGGAGCTGGTGAAGCTCTACAGGCTGCAGGCCAGGAAACAGCTCAGCCAGAACTTCCTCATGGACGAGCGGTTGACGGACAAGATTGTCAAGTCGGCGGGGCGCATAGATCCCAGGGATTTGGTCCTGGAAGTGGGTCCCGGTCCCGGCGGCATCACTCGCTCCATTCTGCGCCGTCAGCCGCAGCGTTTGGTGCTCGTCGAGAAGGATCCGCGCTTCGGCGAGACTCTGCAGCTGCTGAAGGAGTGTGCCAGTCCCCTGAACATCCAGTTCGACATCCACTACGATGATATCCTGCGCTTCAACATGGAGCAGCACATCCCGGACACCTCGCAGAGGATCCACTTGATTGGCAACCTGCCGTTCGCCATCTCAACGCGGCTGCTGATCAACTGGTTCGAGGATTTGGCCGCCCGGAGGGGAGCCTTCCGGCGCATCGACACCTGCATGACTCTGACCTTCCAGCAGGAGGTGGCCGAGCGAATCTGTGCCCCTGTGGGCGGCGAGCAGCGCTGCCGGCTGTCGGTGATGTCGCAGATCTGGACGGAGCCCATCCTGAAGTTCACAATTCCTGGCAAAGCGTTCGTTCCGAAGCCGCAGGTGGATGTGGGCGTCGTGAAGCTCATGCCCCTCAAGCGCCCCAAGACACAGCTGCCGTTTCCGCTCGTCGAGCGCGTGGTGCGTCACATCTTTAGCATGCGGCAGAAGTACTGCCGCCGCGGCTATGGCACCCTGCTTCCGCCAGAAGATCGCGAGGAGGTTACCCAAAAGCTCTTCCAGCGCGCCGAAGTGCAGGATACGCTGCGTTCCTTTGAACTGACCGTGGAGCAGTGCCTACGGCTGGCCGAAGTCTACGCGGAGCACCTGGTGGCCCATCCCGAGGTGGCTGCCTACGATTACCGGGCGCCCAAGAATGTGGAGATCCTCTAACGCAACGATTTCACTCCTGTTTATAAATATGGTAAAATGTATTTAATTAGTTGAGTAAACAAAGCTGTAAAGCTAGTCAAAAAGTTGTACAAAAAGTGCGGACGGAATGTAGGACGAGATTCGTCGTTGCTCAGTGAGTTAGTAAGGCACTTGGGCGCTCCTCCTTCTCGCGGAGATTCTAGCGGAGGAGCAGGGCAGTGGTGACCAGGGTGAGGAGGCCCATCAAGGCGGACACCTGCAGGCCACTGGCCCCATTGCAGCGGTGGTCCAGGAAGCAGAAGCAGAACGTGGTGTCCGTGTAGTAGTCCCGTCGCACGTCGTGCTCCTTGATCGTGTGATTGACGTAGTTCGCCAACTTCTCATCATGGGCGGCTGGTCTACAACCCTCGTATTTGTCGGCGGGAATGTCCTTGCGGAAGCTCAGAGCGCTGAGGCAGTCGCGAGTGATGGTTTCCCTGGCTAAAAGGGATTTGGGTTCAGGTCAAGCGACAATAGGAAAGGATCTCAGCTTACCGCCGCGTCGCTCGGTCACCTTGACGCAGATGTCGTCGGGTTCCGGGCAGTGCTCGCCCAGGAATCCTATTCCCCGCCAGTTAAACTTCTCCGCGCAGCCGGGAGTGGCCGAAGTACAGCGGTAGCACCAAATTGCAGAGCCTGTCAACAAATTAGTAAAATCATTTCACACAGTGCTCATGAATTAATTGCTGGAAATCACACTCACCTTCGTGAATTAAAGCTGCCAGCAGCAGTACTGCAATGAGATTCGTCTGGGAATGCATATTGTTCAGGCTTTAGGCTGGAATGCAGGGTTTTATTAACAAAAAATGCAATTTACAAACGTAAATAACACGATAAAACACGCCCTATGGAGCAGTGTGACCGATGCTGACTGGTTCTCAAAATCTACTTTTTATGCGAAGTGCTGAAGGTGGGTGTATTTGCTATGCTCAGTGAAGTTAAATACCATTAGTGTTGGTAAACAAATAAGTTTGATTATTAATTGGGCGGTTGTATTTAAATTAATAACTAACTATTTTTAAAGTTCGTATTTTATTAAAACATGCATGTTATGAAAACTATTTATATACCTAATATTGAAAAAATTATAGTTTATAGTTGATAAAATATATGTGTGGTATAAATATTTAACAATATATCTGCAAATATTCACAAAAGACGTGACAATAGGGCTTTTGTGAAGATATTTTATAGGAAATGTACAAAAGTATAAAAATAAAGTAATTGAAAAAAAGGAAGAACCTTCATTAATTTATAGTCCCATAAAAGCAACACCTTCCTCTGATTAATAATTAAGTTATGGCTCATTAACAGCGTCATAACGACCAGCAGCTATGGAAACTGAAAATAATACGTACACAAACCGTACCAAGTAGTACACCTGTAATTGCTATTCTTTATTGGCTTTTAAAGTTTACGCTCAGTTTCTATTTTCGCAAACATCCCCAGCTGGCATTTCCTGTTGGCTCTAATAAACCGGGCCATAAACTTAGCATTCGCATCAGGCGCAAAGTCGGTAAGCCGTTGGACTCTCCGAGCAATAAACTTTTGATCGTATTTGGAGCTCCGTCGCGGATCGTTTCATATGCGGCATGTGCGATGTTTGCCCAACGAATGAGTCAGCCGGCTATAACCATAATCTTGCGGCTTATTTGCGGAGTCCAAAAAAAGAAGAGCGCGTAATCCGGTGGACTGCGCAAATAAGCATCCAATTTGGACATGACTCTGCCCATCACGTTTCCAATTCCCGGCCAATACGTTAAAGTAAACATTTGCATATTTCAGATTTTTTATTACTTGGCTTAAACCTTATGGACTAAACATAGTTGGTTGATGGTTGTTAGTCATTCTTGCAAATATCGCATACAGGGACTTTTGAATAAATCAAAACGAATTGAATTATGTTCACACGTGAAAACATGACGGGGATTTGGGGTTTATGCAGATAATGTGTTATTTACAAATTAAAATAAATAAATTAAGAATGAATCACACACACAGTCGCTCTCTCATTCACTCTCTCTCTTTCGGAAACTACAGAACTACGAATACATTTCATGTAAAATCACGTTTCAGTTGCGGCTATATAGGACAGATATATATATATATGCATAGCCCATCCGATCTACAGCGAGACGATAAAGTCCTTGCCGGTCTTGAAGTCGACGCACTTGAACTGCGGACAGCACTTGGGGAACCGCCAGTTGGGGTCGCTGGGCAGCTCCTCGCAGCCAGGGGCATCCACGTAGGGACAGGTCTCGATGCTGATTTCGCGAGCCTCCAGGCTGCAAGTCATCGCCGCGCAGATGCCCTTCGGCTTGTACTCCTTGTCGGGCAGCAGGGCCTTGCGGGTCAGCTTGTCGAAGCACTTGCCGGGATGGGCTGAAAAACAGAGGGGGAAATGCGATTGAGTACACAGGAATAAAAAGTAAATTTTATAAAAAAAACAAGAAAGGAAGCTACCTTCGGCCAGCCGAAGCTTATATACCCTTGCAGATAAAGTAATGCTCACTCGGTGCAGTTCCAGGGATTCCAGATTCAGCGTTTCTATTTTTGAATTTTGTTTTTAAAGAGTCAAGAATTAAAATGCCTACTTCCTACAAAGTAACAATGAATTTTCTTATATATCTTTGAATATTCCTATGGGAGCCTTAAGATATAGTGGTCCGATTCGGCTCGCTCCGACATATGTACTACCTGCAATAGAAAGAAGACTTTCGGGAAAGTTTCATCGCGATATCTTTAAAACTGAGAGACTAGTTCGCATAGAAACGGACAGACGGACAGACGGACAGACGGACAGACGGACCGACGGACAGACGGACAGACGGACAGACGGACATGGCTAGATCGACTCGTCTAGTGATGCTGATCAAGAATATATATACTTTATGTGGTCGGAAACGTCTCCTTCACTGCGTTGCAAACATCTGACTGAAATTATAATACCCTCTACAAGGGTATAATTATATAAAATTAAATATAAAAAAATATTATTAAAATTAAATATTAATTGCCTCTCTCCCAGCTTATCTTTCTTAATGGCTAAATAATAGTTTTCTTTGTGGCAAATCGTATGAATTGTTTTCAGTTTACTGTGCTGCAAGCGGAAGTGGTGGAAGACAGTCTTCTTTGTTGCTTCCCCCAAGCTGTCGTAGTTGCGGCGATTTATTTATGCGCTGTCCCCTGTCTTGCGAGCTTATGAGGAAGTGGCTATAAATCGTGATTGTGTCCGAGTGAGATTTAAATATGTGCATGCATATCGCAGGCGGAGTTACAAAAAACGAAAACAAACAGGCTCAAGGAGATATTTCTGGGTTTCAAAATATAAATAAAATTATCCAATATATTATTTAAATTATTTTTGAGTAATATAAGACATCTGTATCTCCTTCTGAGACATTAATAGCCCAATGGAAAAGTTCGCCACTCGAGGGACCTATTTTTGTATCCATGACTTGCACGAAACGAAAGACTTAGGGCACGAACTTGACAGTCATTCGACATGAAAATTGGCACACAAGTGCTCGCTGGGATATAAATACATCAGATCAACAGAAAACAAGAGCTACAGCCTGCGGTTGCGGTTACGATTTGAGCCAGGGACTGGCATTTATTTTTATTTTTAAACCTCGAGCACTGAGCCGAGCTGACAGATGGCGATGGAGCGTACGGCGTACTCGTGCTTTTATTTATAACGAACTGCCCGCGGCTGCGAATTGTTGAGTTGTCGGGCTCAAAAATAAATTACCGAATAGAAAGGTACGTTTGATTAATGACACTCGCCATTAATTTACCACTCGAAGAGCCAAAGAACACGCATTCCGGCCAATTGTGCAATTAATCGCCAAGTGACCGGCCGCGTGAACTCATCGCCTATTTTTAAGCAGTCGGCGCTAATTTCTTATAGATTAGTGAGCCAAAATTCCCAGCCAAAGACGTTGGACGACCTTCACGCATGAATAATTCAGCAGCATGAAAATATATCTGGCTATCCAGCGATCTGGGGATAATCGATAAGTTTTCTAACTCAAATCCGCATAGCGATGCAAATTAGCCGAGCGCTTGAATTAATAACCACATCAGCACATTTCTTATGCTAATTTTTGGCGAATGCGAAAAACCCAAAAACCTAACCGAAATTCATATCTATCTCTATTTGTATCTGTATCTGAATCTGAATCTGCTACACAACCGAAAGGGGGCCAATAGCATGACAAATTTCATCTGATTTCAGCTTTTGTTGTTTTCGTTTTCGTCTTTTGCGTTGTTCGATTTTATTGTTTTCTTTTGTTTATCATTTCGATTTGTGTTTGTTGACGTCAGCGAAAGCGGGCAACAAAATCACAAACAAATCAACCCATAAATCACATGTCCAACAGCGTAATCATAAACAAATATTGCCCGACATCTGACGTCAAAGTTCTGCCGTTGTCCAAAAATTGGTCTTCTATTTTTTGGAGTAAATTAATTTTCGGTATTGAAATTCCTATCGCGAATGAGCTAATGCTAGACCTCGCAAAATCATCGCCTCAATCGTAAATCAATCACGAAATCCCCTGCCAAGCGCTATCAACTTTTCAGTTTTTATTGTTTTTCGTGGCTCGAAAAGGTCGCCTATTAATTGGAAACTTAATGAGAAAACTCCATAGGCAAGCATCGAATTAATGGAATTTTTCAATCATCTCGATTCGCATACCATTTTAATCGAATCATTAATGGAAGGCTCACGTTTTTCCCAATGCCGCTGTAAAACGTATTGTTCTAGCAGCAAAAACTGATTGGGGTCATCATTTATGTGCAATTGCTTTTAGCTTAAATGGGAATTTATCTGTTGTTTCAATCGGACTATATATTTTAAACTAATAAATTTAATAAAAGAACACAATATAATATTACTACTTTTACTTTAACTATTTTACTGATTTATCCTACAAAACAAGGTTCCTAAAGTTGGCTATTTCTTTTTCAATAAATCCTTACCTGGAAGGAAGATGGCGGGCTGGGAGTAAACTGCTGCATCCACGACGCTGGCGAAGATTGCGAAGAGCGCGATGGCGGCACAAACTTTATCCACTTGCATTTTGCAGCTGATTTTCTTGTATTTTAAATTAATATTCTTTTACGACTGGATGCGATTCCACTCTCGTATCTCTGTTCACTTGCGATATTTTGCGCGTTTAGCTTGGGGTGTTTGGATTCTCTTTTTAGGAGCTGTGCACGGTCTGAAATTCAGTCACCAACTGAAGCTACCTCGCTGGGGGCACCCATATTTAAGTCAGTCGACGCAGAGAGCCCACGATCACCGAGGTAGGGGTATATCTCTCGAGATCTGGCTCTCACAACTTGGCCGAAGCACATGTTTTCTTTTTTGGTCGCGGGGGCTTGGGTTATTCCGGAGTTGGGCGAGCGCCATAAATCTCACGGCCCTCGTCCCACTCGGCGGCGGCCATTTGGAGAGCTATCACCATGAGCTGGCGAAATGCTTTTACCCCCCTTTAAGCGCGGCCATTGTTCTGCATTATTGTGCAGTTTTGCCCAATTAATTATCCGGCCTCCCCGAAATGGCCTGGTAATGGGCTGGGTCTGGGTGTGCCTAGTGCTGGAATGTGGGGTCGCCCACCCCTGATCTTCATAAATGGTAGCTTCGGCAATTGTCGAGGCACATCTGTCAACCGAGCGAATCTCAGTTAAATGCGGCTAAAAGATCTTACCAAATTTGGCTGCACTGACGACCAAAGTCGGTGCTTTGAAGATGTGCCAAGAGCTCAGGGAAAATGTTGACAACTGATGGCCAGGAATGGCGTTGAAGATGGACGAGTAGGAGTTCAAA